GGAGGGAGGGAGGGGTGGTATGTGGAGGGAGGGAGAGGTGGTATGTGGAGGGAAGGAGGGAGAGAGGGAGAGGTGGTATGTGGAGGAAGAGAGGGAGAAGTGGTAGTTGGAGGGAGGGAGGGAGTGAAATTGGGCCATAAATTTTAAAATATTACGTACTTTAACGTATATTCATGTTCGAAGCTTCAAATGCTTCAATGAAGCTTCGTGACGTCACACTCAACCTTCATATATAAAGTCTTGACTAACTCATTTTTGCCACATTCTTCATCGATCATCACCACTCACTGGCTGCAGCTAACAAGCAGGTAAGCTCGAGCTGCCCCACACCGCTAGTCTCCATTATCTACGTGTTATGTTTTTCCCCAACTGTCTACAGTCAAAATGGCCAAGAGAAATGGCGTAATAAATGCTGATTTAAGTAAAAAACTTGCCAGCCGGTTGTTGCAGTTCACTTGCCTCCAAGGGTCGTATCCCCAAGATTCACTGGGCTGTAAGACCTATGGTATCTACTTTGCAGCTTAAACAAATACATTAATATAGTTTACTATTATATTAAGCATTTCTCTAACGTCTAACCAGTAATTTCGTAATGTTTTAGGCAAATATACCGCCAAATGAGCCATGACAAATGAGCCTTAACTATAAACCCGTGGCGAGTAATGAGCGTAAACCATACATCAGTATTTACGTAATATTTAACCAGTGAGTACAATGACCAGATTGCATTAGATTACTGAATTTATTTTTTTTTATTTGGTAATTTCCCTCTTGCTTCGAAGCCCAACCCACTTTTGGCGGAGCCGGTTGTCATAATTCAATAATTACGCATTTCCCCAAATGTTCATCACCACCGCTGTATTCAGCATTAAAACTGCGCCGCAATGACTCGGTTTAACAAAAAATATAACGATTTTTTGAGTTATTAAGATAAAATATTTTTTATTGGCTAGTTCTTTGCTTAATCTTTAACTACGATTTCTGGAAGTTGAAACCGAATTTATTAGGCAAAGGGCGAGGCGGGGTAGGGAGCCGGCGGAGGGCGAGACGTTTCAGAAGGTCGAGGATTAGCCAATCTACGTACAGGTATTACTGTGAGCTGGTGATTTGGTAAATTTGCATAAGCGCACCCATCTGTTAGAAAGTAAAAAATATATTTTTCTATTGGATTTGTGTGTTTTGACAGTTTGACCTTCATTTCCGTCGGAAATTGGCCGTTTTTTTCTATTTTTTTAGTGGGGCGTTTTCCGAGAAACTAATGGCTAAACGAATACAAAATAAAAAAAAAACACTAGAAAAACAAACCAAACCTAACCTAACTGACTCGCCATATGATGGGATCACTTATTTCTTACCTTATTGGCCGTCTCTTCTTTGTCTTTGGGATAATGCTATTATGTTGGTCTTGACGATATTTACATTCGTTCTTGCACTTAGAACACTTTGAGGTCGGGAGAACACCATGAGATTGAAAAAATGCTATAGTTTCTTGTTTTTTTCCCCCAAAACTCGCAATCAGCTCCATATAATTGCAGTGACACCTGTTGCAGACTTCCTTGGTCGGAAATGAATTTGAAATCGGAAATATGAGATCCAAAATAAAACTCAAATTTGATTGGACCAAAATTACTGCGAATTAAACCACAAATCATTTTAATTGGTTGCCAAAAAAAAACGCTTTTGATTGGCCGCGTGACGTGTACGGGAATGCATGCTCGTGATGATTTATGAAGGAGACACCAGTGTGGGAGGAGAGGTAGGCAATAATGGCGGAAGATAAATTGAAGAAAATAGAGAAAATTTTGGATACGTTATCTCCGTTATTAAACATTTGCGATGGTAATGTAATATATAAAAAAAAATCTTTATAACTAGACGTCTTATTCGAATATGATAATAGATAAGGGGTAGGAATGTGGGGTGCGAGAATGCAATAATACCGGTGAATTTTTTTTTTCAGATCAAGGAATGACGACAGATCCAACTACAGTGCAAAACCCTCTGTTATTGGTGTGGTGCAGTATGTGGTGATAAGTGAAGTGTGGTGTAGTATGGGGGACAACAGACCACGAGTGTGAGAAGTGAATCTTCTCACACTACACAACAGTATTCCTTGACGTCAATTTTAACATTTTGTCAGAAGGTGTGGGTGGGTGTAGCCTGCTCTGGAGTCATTTAATGTTTTGTGTGGGGCTGTGGGTGGGTGTAGCTTCCAGTGGTGTCGTTTAATGTTTTGTGAGGGGGATGTGGCTTGTTGTGGTGTCATAACGTTTTGAGAGTGTAGGTGGGTTTGGCTTGTTGTGGGGTCATTTAACGTTTTGTGAGGGTGTGGGGTGTTGTATACAGGTTGGGGGGGGACTGTGGTGGTGTATAGGATAGGGTTGTGTTCCCATATGAAGGAATTGTATGAGGGAGGGAAGGTCTAGAAAGAGAGCTGTAGTAAACCTTGTGTATAGTGCATGAAGCAGTGTAGAGATGTGTAGTACAGTGTAGGAATTCGTGGTATAATGTTGTCTAGCACTCAGGATGGATGGAAACTCTAATGTGGTTTTTTTGTATAATATAAGTTACATGATAGACAGTCTGGTGCTGGAGGTGCCGTGTGGTGAGGAGCTGCTCAGTAGAGACGTTCGGCGAGTAGCGTGTTGAAGGAGGTAGATGTGCAGGAGCTTCGTTAGAGAAGATGTTGCCTGTTGCTGGCCTCCTGGTTGAATGAATGCTGACAGCGTGGAGCTTGCTGGAGGAGGTGTTGCTTGTTCAAGAAGAGAGACCAGAATGAGAAAGCTCAGAGAAGGACAGCTGGTGGGTCGCCATGCTCGCTGGCGGGAGCGAGGACCGCCAGGCAGGCGTCGCAGGTGGGATGCAGCTACGCAGTTTGTAGGGGAGACGTCCACTACAACAGTATAGTGTAGCAGTACTGTATTGGTGTTGGTGAGAAGTAATTTGAGTCAACTGTGGAGATAATAATTTATGTAAACAGTTGGGGGCAGTTTAAGTACATGTAGTCTAGTGGTAGATGGAAGTTGCAAGTTTAATTTTCATTCTACATAAATTACAACTTTAAACATGTTGCAGGTGACCGCTGATGTACGTGAAGGCCAATGGAGAAGTAACAGAACCTTGAGCAAGATTTAACAAGCAGCATGTTACTTCAGCCTCATCAGTTAAGTTACTTGTGCAGTATATCTTAGCTATTATGGTCATCCCATAAACCACTCAGCACGGTGCTCCTACACTGGGCAGTGGAGGGTGCGTGTGTGGGGCTTGGCTGACAGAGTGCGTTGGAGGGCTGTGTCGGACTGAGTGGACTGACTGTAGACAGATTGATCTTGGAGTAAATTAATATTAGTTTTAGTGACAGTATAAATATACAGGACTACATGCCTCTTAGTTACTAGAGAAAATTAGTAGTAGTATACGTAGTAGTAAATATAGCAAGTAAAGCAAGTTGTTGTGGGTGGGTTTCAACTAACTTTACTAACCTAACTTAACCAGCCTAACTTAGATTATATGTAACTAACCTAGACTGAAGCAAATCAGTAAAAAGGTATCTATTATACAGTAAATATTTTAGATAAAAAAATGTTTTAAGAACGTCAATTTAAACTATTTTATTATCCACTTACGTTAACTGATCATGAATTGGGAAAGTTTATTTTGAATTTAAATAAAATTGAGACTTCTGTAAATTATTAATTGATAACTTGTGTACAGTTAGGGACAGCTTAAGTAATATACATGTGGCTTAATTGTACATGATAATTGTATGTTTAATGGCTATTCTACATTAATTACAACTTTAAACAAGTTGCAAGTGAGAGCTGATGTACTTGAAGGCCAATGAAGAAGTGACGGAACCTTGAGCAAGATTTAACGAGTAGCATGTTACTTCAGCCTCATCGGTTAAGTTACTTATACAGTATATCTTGGCTAGTATGGTCATCCCATAAAACACGCAACACTGTGCTCCTACACTTGGCAGTGGAGGGTGTGTGCGTGTGTTGGGGGGGGGGGGCACCTGGCTAACTGTGTGTGAAGGCTCTGGAGGACTGTGTGTGGACTGACTGTAGAAACTGATCTTGTAGTAAAATTAATATTAGTTGTAGTGACATTACGTATAAATACACAGGACTACATGCCTATTGGTTGGAGATAATTGGTAGTGTAGTTGTAGCCAGTAAAGTAAGTTATTGTGGGTGGGTTTCAACTAACATTACTAACCTAACTTAACCAGCTTAACTTTGATTAAATGCAACTAACCTAGACTGAACCAAATCAGTATTAAGTTATCTATTATACAGTAAATATATTAAATAAAAAACTTATTGAAGAAAAAAAATTCGATGTCTTTCACTAGCCACTCATGTTAACGGATCATGAATTCAGAAAGTTAATTTTGAAGTTTGATAAAATTGAGACTGTGTTAATTATTAAAAAGTGATAACTTGTGTACAGTTGGACAGTTTAAGTACATCTGGTCTTGTGGTAAATGTACCTGTATTGTATGTTTAATATTTATTCTACATAAATTACAACTTTAAACATGTTGCAGGTGACAGCTGATGTACTTGAAGGCCAATGGAGAGGGGACAGAACCTTAAGCAAGATTTAACAAGCAGCATGTTACTTCAGCCTCATCGGTTAAGTTACTTATACAGTATATCTTGGCTAGTATGGTCATCCCATAAACCACTTAACACTGTGCTCCTACACTGGGCAGTGGAGGCCTGTGTGTGTAATGGAGAGCTCTGGAGGCCTGTGTGTGTAATGGAGAGCTCTGGAGGCCTGTGTGTGTAATGGAGAGCTCTGGAGGCCTGTGTGTGTAATGGAGAGCTCTGGAGGCCTGTGTGTGTAATGGAGAGCTCTGGAGGCCTGTGTGTGTTGGAAGGCTCTGGAGGACTGTGTGTGTGTGTGTTGGAGGGCTCTGGAAGACTGTGGACTGACTGCAGAGTGAGATATTAGAGTAAAATTAATATTAGCTAAAAATAGATAGACTTGTAAATTATTAAAATTTGATAAATTGTGTACAGTTGGAGTCAAAGTACAGGAGGTCTAGTGGTAGAAGGATATTGTAGGTTTAACCTTCATTTTACAGAAATAACTCGAAAAATATTGCAGGTGACAGATGATTTACTTAAAGGCCAACATAGAGGAAGTGACGGAGCCAACCTTGAGCAAGATGTAACACATGTTAATTCAGCCTCCCCAGTTAAGTTACCTTAAGTTACCTGTGTCTTTGTATAGCTATCCTAAAACCCACAATGTAAGAATGAAAAAGAGTGACTTGCTTTGTGAGAAGGGTTGGGACGCTCGTACGTTGGGCAGTGGAGGGACGCTCGTACGTTGGGCAGTGGAGGGACGCTCGTACATTGGGCAGTGGAGGGACGCTCGTACGTTGGGCAGTGGAGGGTACTCGTGCACGGGCGGTAGTGGTGTGCTCATACAATGGTTAATAGTGAATTTTATAAATTTATCTGAGTAAAATGGCATGTACTGTGAAGGAATGTTGTGGATGATGCCTGTGAGAAGACTGCTGCTCACCGCGTAATTTGTTATAGGAGTGTGCTCAAGTGTATGGATATCTGTAAGTATACAAGGTAGAATGCAAGAAATTTTGGTAATGATACATTAATGTTAATTAAGAATGACCTAAATTCAAAATATTATTTCAGGTGGTTGGTGTACAAGATCGATGTACCAGGTGTGAAAGCAAGATGGCCAGATGACCACAGCGACTGTTCTCAACCATCCCACACCTTCAAGACTGCCAGCTTAAGCAAAAATTTATTTATACAAATAAGAATTGAGAAAATATTTAAAAGTACGTACAGTAAAGTAATATTTAAGAACGTATAAGTAAGCCTCGAGTCGAGCCACAGATTAAAAAAAAGTAGGTATATTGTGTAATGGCTGGCACTTGTATCGAGAAAGAGAATATTATGTTGGCTCTCATTATACAATATATGTTCATAATCAAATAAACCCTGAATAAATTCGACATCTTTTATACTCCGATTTTGGAAAAATAGAATAATAATGATCTTGTAAACTGAACTTGAAACCTAAAGGTGAGGTGTAGAGTACAGTATACTGTGATGCCAATACGATAGCCTATGTATACTTATCACTAATTGACATCCAAGTGCCAGCTTATGTAGAACTGTTGCAAACTAATGCCCATGCAGTGACCTATTGGGTATGCAAAATCAAAACTAAAAAGATGACTACAGGACTGTACCTACAGATGGCATTGTAATATCTCATTTCAGTGTAGTTATTACTAGGGGTACATCATCAAAAATGCATCTTTATGGTGGTGTTAAACCATGGCACCTCAGAAGGAGTTTGACAACCTTGGAGACAACAGGTGTCGATCTTCATTTTGAAATTCATTGGCCATGTCCGTAAAGATACGTTTTTGATTTTGTATACCGGTACATATTATTTTGAAAGTAATGTATACATAGTACATGAAAGTAAAGTACAGTAGGGATTTTACTTACGGAATGTTGACAATCTGGACACTGCACACCAAATGTTGAATGGAAGTCTGTTTTGCCTAAAATTTTGAAAAGAAATCCTTTTAAAATTATAATTCAAATTCTAAATTTACTATTATGTATAACACTGTAAATTAAATTAATTGTACAAAAAGCTAAAGACTTTGAAATCCAATGGTCATGTTTAAAGTTGTAACGTTTTGAAACGAAATAATTTTATATTTGACCTAAAGTACAGTGGGTGTTGGTGGTAGTGTGAGTATCTTGCAAAACTGTCCTGGGGCCCAAACTCCAGCCTGGGACAGATACGAGAAGGGTGCTGAAAGGTGTAAACCTAGCAAATATCATGCCCACTCCTTCCCACACCTGCCAAAAGGCTAGTAAATGGACTAGTGGTGAATACTATACAGACTTGGTCACTTGAATAAATTTAAATTTAGAAATACCCCTATACTGGTCAAAATTATTCACAAAGTACAAGACTTCCATTATTAGATCACACAATCTTGTGTATGACCAAAACCTGACATAAGATAGACAATCATTAAGGTATAGTATAATAAACTAACCTTAAGTGGAGTCCATTATAGACGTTGAATTGGGAAATACTTGAGATTGTGAAAGCGTGATGATACCTCCATCACAATGTATCTGCCGAGAAGAAATGTGCATAGTAGTGGCAATGTGCTTATCTCGAGATAAGAGAAAAATTTTATCGTGACATTACCAACCATTACAAGTTCTCTGATTTCCTCCTACACTAATACTAGATAATTAAAGTTTTAATTGATAACATAAGACTACCCGAATGTCTAGTAAACTTAATTACCTACACAGAGCAGGTTTAACACAGAACAATAAGGCAATTTGACAAGTTCTTTTGTAATCTTTCTGTATAAAACTTCTGGACTATTATTGTAAACCAACATATATGAGGTGTATAATAAATGAAAATGAACTATATACCTGTAGAACTCCTTTTATTTTTCAAGATTTCCTGTCTACAATACCTAATATACTGTGTACTGCATGGTTAGTCTTGCAATTTTAAACATGGTCTCAAAACATGAAGGTCCCATTAAGTGGGAGTGAGTGTATATGTAAATATCTACATTGCTGGTCTTGGTAAATATACAGTAAACACGGTCTTCTTGATAAAATACGAGTTACTGTACCTTGTATTATAAATTGGTCTAAAAACTTAGAGGTTTATGAAGTGGTGATCATGCAACACTGCAGTAGCCCTCCTCCTTTATCCGGGCTGGGGACCGGCATGTTCAGTTGAACAAGGCGGAGTTACTACTGTATATCTACTACTAACTATGGTGCTGTTACTGTTGCAAAAATATGTTTTACTTTTACCACCTCCAGGAAGCACCTTGCTGTGGGTCCACACAAACCTGGAATAAAATAAGTTTTATAGACAATGTTCATAAATTCATTATATATAGACTACATACTGTCACAAGTACTTTACCTGTTTGGTGGGGTTCTTGACCTGCCAGACGTTCGCCTCAGCTAGTCAACCATTCACCAGAGCCAGCCAGCAGTCCACCTGAGCCAAACAGCCATTCTCCTCAGACAGTCACACAATCTGAAAGATTTAAAAAGACCCTCAAGGTGTGTGGATGAGAGGAAGGACTTGTGGATGGGCTGGAGGGTGTGTGGATGGACAGGGGGAGTGTGGATAGACAGGAGGGTGTGTGGATGGGAGGTTGGGTGTGTGGATGGAAGGAAGGGCGTGTGGATGGGAGGACATCTTCCCTCCCACCTATACACCCACACTCCCACCCACCTAACCCTCCCTCCTACTCACCCAGTCAACCCACCCACCCCCAACCCTCCCAAGCTCCCACCCACCCAATTAAACTTAAATTACTTAAAATTAAACTCTTGGATTCTTATACAGTATTACATATACATAATTAAACTAATATAAGCTAAACACTTAATTTTTATGATCTAATATCCAGGAAGGGGAATACCATAAAATAACACCTCTATCAAAGCAGTTAGAATATATCCTTAAGTATGTACTGTACTGTACTCAATTTGCATTCATTACTTTTTCATTTCTTTTTGGCAAGAACAATTTGTTTTAGGAAGGTACTATACTATACTTACATTTTATATTCAAGGCCAGTACCACTGAAGACCCTACTGAAGCATGCAAGAAGGTTCTTGGTGGGTCTCCCAGCACCACATTCTCTTCAGGACGCTGAGCGGTGATTGTGACAGCAGTACAAGGGTCACTGCTGCTCTCTGTTGTCTGGTGAGTCACATGAAGTTGATAATGTGAAGAAAGTGGAAGTCAAAACATCACAGTTTTTGATAATTGATAAAGTCATCATCATTGGCCTTTTCCCCGATGATATCTGTGGTATCAAGCAGTTCTTGAAAACAGACAAAATATACCAACCCAACCAAAACTACTGAACCTAATTTACAACAATTTAGTCAAGTGTTGGTTTGTTAAATTTCCACAGATCTTTAAAGTGCAGAGCTAAGACCCCCAACGGTAAAAATATATATCACACAGCAGAACTACTCACCGTTAAGACCCTCAAGGTATAATATATATCACACAGCAGAACTACTCACCGTTGAGACCCTCAAGGTATAATATATATCACACAGCAAAACTAATCACTGTCAAGACCCTCCAAGGTAAAAATATATATCACAGCAAAACTACTCACCATCAAGACCCTCAAGGTATAATATATATCACACAGCAGAACTACTCACCGTCAAGACCCTCAAGGCCATCACATTTTATGATGGTACAGTATAAATGAATCTTCGAGATATAACATATATAACTACGGTGTTATTCAACACCAGAGGTTGTCCAGTAGCAGTTAGTAACACGGTTTAAATCTATTATAATACCTTTGCTATTTGCTTTTACCAGGGTATGCCATTTGTCCAATATCCAGCCCCACATAGTTCTCCCCATTATAATCATCAGGATGGTCTTGTCCACCATCTTGGATAATGAACCACTGCATCTGAAACACATTGGTATGATTAATGTTTGTTTACATCTGAAATATTAACTATCACAATACACTGAGTGAATAAACCACTGTAGGTGTGCATTATACATGCAGATAACTACTGAGGAGAAAAGAAAACATGGAAGTACTGGGAATTTCATGTTTTCTTGTTCGTTTGTGGTTATTAACTAAAATGCATGTTTTAGAATACTGTATACATATCACAGCATTAATATATGGCGGTAACTGTAGGATCTATAGTGTAGTTTCTATTTAATGTGATTATGAATGAATTTAACTCCATAACTATGTACACTCTCCCAAAAAGTATCGGCCCCCTGGGCCTGATGTACAGTATTTGGAAATGAACACAGTAACATGTACACTGCAGTCTTGGTTTGGTTGGTATTCCTAATTGTGAGTTGCACCCTTCGTTCATTCTTTTTGTACCTGATAATCACCGTGATATCTGCATAATATCTACATAATGTAATAAAAGGGGATGAATTGTGATACCATACGCAAAACCAATAACGTCAAGAGTAACCCTGTTGATTTATGCACCTTAGATACTATTTCAGCACCAGGGGAAGGGTTGCCAAATAGAAATAAAACGTTGCTATGTTTTCATGAACCAAGGTTACAATGAAATCACTTTGAATGAAATAAGAAACACTATGATCTGACATTATATTCATTTGTAAATACAGTAATTACAGGTGTATTATGATGCCTTATCCAATTATAATAAATTATGATTTACTATATTTTGATATTATTTCTACCTCAATTGATGAGGTAACAATTATGAATATAATGTATCATCACACGATTCATGCTAGCACCAGAACAGTATCTGATACACACTATGAGACAATGTCTGTCAGTGCAAGCTGTGTTTTCCAATGAGTCTCAGGTACTAGTGTTGGTCATGGATTTCCTGCAAAAAAACACCCACTATTTGACTGACGCTGATATATTTTCATTACATTAATATCATGATATTTTACTAAAGATGGAGCAAGGTGATTCACCATAATTACAACAAATGCCAGAAACAATAACAGGCAACCTCACAGATACTAGGAAGGCAAGCCTATCAACATAATACTGGAATCACAATTAGTGACCGGAAATATTCGTCCCTTGTGACACATTGTATCAATGAGAAAAGGGGCTGTTACTCTTTTGGTAGAGTGTACACATGACAAGATTAGGTGATTAGGTAGTCAATACATAAACCTTCATATCAACAAACATCACCTTATATTCAAGAATGGTAGAAAGAGTATGTAATGGAGTGAGGAAAACCTAAAACTTGAATAGGAATGGTTGTTTATAGTCTTCATTGGTAGTAATGTTGAGTGGTGGGGGTTGTGGGGGGTAAGGCCAGATGTAGGCATTTCAGTATGGGAGGGGAGGGGGCACAGAATAAACAGCACTCCCTAAAAAAAAAGGCAATGTACTGTACTAGAAAAAAAAAATCTGAAAACAGATCACCAGTGAGTAGGTATAAATTAAATTGTATTGGTTTATCAGATCAGTCTCACTGAAATATGATACAAAATTCAAATATAATTTGGGTACAAAAGTTATCACAGAAAAATGTAAAGCCAGGGTCAAAGGTTCGCTCCCTCCCAAAATGAAGCAGCATCGACCCTTAACGAGATACAACAGTTTGGATAAGTCAGTTCAGAGACTTATTCCCGTGACTCAGTTTCACCGCGGGGAGTGAACTTTGGTCCACAACTGTACTTAACACTTACAAATGTCATGCAAATTAAAAGAACTATTAGAATAAGGTGGACAGAGTAGCTGGAGCACAAACCAAAGTGATAAAGGAAGTAACAAACAAGATTTACACTCCATTAAAACTCCTATTCAGTTAATCATCTGATCGAGGTACAATGTTTAAGGACTGGAAATCAGCCAATGTCACCCCAGTATACAAGAAGGGTAGAAAAGTACAGGAGAAAACTACAGGCTGATCAGCCTAACATCACATACAGTACAGTATATGAAAATATAAGGATGAAATATTAAGAGATGTCGTGCCACCATCCAACACCTGGCAAAGCACAGTCTTATTAATGCATCACAATACAGTTTCATGGAGAAAATCCTGCCTAACAAATACAGGAACTCACTTTCCTTCAAAATGTAACAGGGTACGTGCACCAAGGTCTACCGGTGGATGGGTTGTATATGAATTTTTCTGAGACGTTTGACAAGTCCCACATGCACGACTAGCCTCTAAGATCCAGGCACAAAGCATCACAGGCAATATATTGAAATGAAAGTACAGTTGGCTCAAAGGGTGGTATTAAATGGGGTAAATTAAATTTAGAAAAAGGTTGTCCTTGGACCCACCCTATTTGTGACCTACATTAATGACATAGATGACCGTATATTACCATATTGTCAAGATTGTGTACAACACAAAGACATTTGGGAAGGCACCAAGTCAGATGATGTCACAACCATGCAAAAAAGATCTGCTGGAGCTGTGCAAATGGTTGTATGACTGGCATAGCTTTATATCATTATATTATGTAAGACTCTGCATGTAGGGTACAACATCCCTAATCACAACTATTCTGTTAATAACACTTTCATGGACACTGTTGCTAAGGAAAAGATCTAGGCATTGTGGCAAACCAATCACTGAAGGCGGCACAACAAGTGGGGGCAGCAATGAAAAAAGCTAACCAAGATTTAAGAATTATAAGTCGTACCTTCAAATTTAAAGCTAAGAAAAGGCTCCTTCAACCTTATAAGTATCACATAGGTCCCCATCTGAATTACTGTGTTTAGGCACAGAAACTCTACCTCCAGAAAGACTTAACAATCATATAAATGGTGCAACACAGAGCGACTAAGATGATTCCTGAACTACATCATCTCGATTATCCAAGTAGACTGAGTGCCTAAGGACTAACAACTCTTCAGACAAGACACAATATGGTAGATCTCATAGGGACATTCTAAATCATGAATGGAATGAAAAATGAAAACCTGAGCCATTTTTTGTGATGCTATGCACCACCAACATGAGGGGAAATTACTATAAGTTCACCAAGTTATCATGCAAGACAAATATAAGGAAATACTTCTTCACACAGAGGCTGGTAGACCTATGGAACAGTCTACTAGTTCAAGCTGTGGAATCGAGAGAACAGAACTGGGTTTGAAAACAGCCCTATACAAGAATAGGAAGAACGATGGAGGGATTCTACACAGGCCACTGGCCTTCTTCCCTTCTAATGGCCACCTGTAGTGGGTGGCCATTAGGTAAATAAGATAAAAATAAGTTAAGATGAAGATAAAAATATGTTATTGACTGCACCAAAACTTAAAAGGCAACTATGAACACCACAACTACAAATTTGGAAGTACAATGTACGTGGACAAAGATTCCAAAGAGAATGTGAATAAAATAAATAAAATTACAGCGAGCTATTAATAAAAAATAAAAATTATTTTCAGAGGCGACATACACAGCATTCAAATCGATTTGTTTTGTGAAGAGCCTTCAGTTGTTTTCTGAAAAACACATGTAAATCATGACCTGTAAAACTTTTTCAGTGACATGATACACCACAGCCAGGCCAGTTAACCCTCTCGTGGCCTTTCTACGCAGATTGCATTACTAAGCGCCCCTGTGCTGGCATGACCCCTCCTGCTCAGCAGTATCTCACACTGAGAGCACCCATCCTGTAAGCAGAAATGCAGAAACAGTGGACCGGTCCTATCAACCATTAAGTTCCTTCCACTAGCCTCATGGGCTGGCAGATGCATCTCTAAGGGTGCAATTTAGGTCTGGATCACTCTACCCAATGTTTAAAAAAAATGGAAAAACCATTCCTATTACCGACGCAACCTGTGTTGAAAGACTGCAAGGGGTTGAGATTTCTGACCATGAGTACCAGAGGGTTTACCTTTCCACCTTCATCCTGGTTCTCAGGCAGTTCTACATGTGCCTTAGTCCAGAGAGAGAGAGAGAGCATTCAGCTTCAGAAGAACCTACTGGAGACACACAACCAATACACAGTAGCTCATACAGATTTAGAAATACTTTACATCTGTCACAATATATGAGAGTTTCAATAAAATTAGATGGTGACATTTCTTTCTTGGTATTCAGAGTTTTCCAGCATCTTAACTTAATAGGGAGAGAGATGAGGAAAAATAAATTTTCCAAAATAGCAACTTTTTTACAAACAATGCCAAGGTTATTTCTACCTGATTTATTTATTTTTATCATTTTACCACTTATTAGATTACAAGCCATTTGGAATGATTTGGAAGAGGGCAGCACATGTCTTTGAATTTGTATTAAAGTGGGTTTCCATCTCATTTAAAAGGTGAACAAGGAATGGAATGGCTAGATTTTTACTGTAGTTGCAATTTACTTGATCCCTACTGTTCTTAGGCATGACTTTGATATCATTTCACCAACACTCTCAACAAGCTGGGAGGCCTTGGTCAACCACATACAAAAGTAATCTTTCATATCACTATGAATTTCCTCGATTTGTTCAATGGCCATGTTTATCATTTAGTGCACCTCAAATTAATCTAAATTGCTAGGCTGAAGTTTGGCAGAAACGTGTCAAGACATGGCCTCGATAAACAGTATCAAATGAATGCATGTCTGAATTGTACATGCTCAGCGTGCATCGCCAGATATTATTAGATAAAAAGAAAGCCTTCATTGAAGATGTGATTGATTATTTTGGAGCTGATAAGCATAGCCTGAAGCATTTATTTAACCATTGAAATTATGCTGCTAATGTTCTGAGCAAGTCCCTATTGTGACAGTCATTCCTAGATTTTCATGATTAATGATATAAAATTAATTATTTTCTTTAGTTTTTAATGCTTAAGGTCAACCCTATGATAATTTCAGTGATTATTAATTTGGTGATAACACTGATGAGATATATTGCTGATTATACATTACTGGGAAGTAACTGTAATACTTTATCATACTTTTATATGGATGTATACAAGTGTAAGTACCTGTTTTGATTAAACTGATATGTCAGGTCTTGTCTTGCTTTCTTGCATCCCCCTGGAAAAATCCTGCGGCCACCCGTGGCAGCACCTGTCCTCTCTTGTGTTGGTGAAGGAAGACTACGGAAGCTTGATATCCTACAAAACGAAGCAATGAGAATAATTTTAGGAAGTCAAAAGAATACAATAATTGAGATAATAAAAATGGAGCTAGGGTTACAGAACATTTCACACAGGGTCAATGATATTCCTCCTCGCCATTACTGATGTATATCAACCTAAATATTTAGGTAAGTTCTTTAACACATATATTAACATGATAATGCATAGAACCTAACCTAACAAACACATAGGTTGGGTATGATAGGTCAGGTTCGATTAGGTTCCATACATTGTCGTTTCCATTTTTGTTTAATATCATATTAGTATGTAGAAAAAATTTCAACCAATTTGGACAATTCCTTCTGGTGGTCACCCTTTTCTACACCTTTACCAAAAAATAATCCTATTGATAATGGTAAAAAATCTGGGTAATTATATAGGACTAACCCGCGAGTGAAATTGATTGAAAACAATTATAAAATCGCCGGATTTTCATTGTTATATTTTAGTGGACACTTGTAGTTTGTGGAAATTTGTTAAAAAATGGATATTTTTAAAATAAACGCTTCTTAACATAAGTGGGTATGAAGAACAGACCTGGCCAACGAAACAAAACAAACCTACCTAACCTTACCTTAACTTCCCTGGTATATTAAACAGAAAGAACTTACTATGATATGGTGAAATTTGAGGCATTTTCTGGACGTGAGACGATACGGCCGCATCGGCACTATGCAGCCCTAGAGGGTTAGTCCTATTTATTAAACAAATTCTGAAATCCCCATTGGGATAAAAACGAATATTAACCCTATTTTCTTAAATTCACCAAATCGTCAACGGCAACGAATTATTTCTGACTACAAACACCAATATAAACTACACTAATACCAAGGCAGCATAATATATAAAATGGTGCAGTTTATCTTTACAATTACCTTTTCATAAAACATCTTCACCTAAATTTTCATATGATGACGGAATTAAACTCTCAGTAACTATTGTAGTGTTGACAAACTACCTTGACGGTGGTTAACCAACTCTGAACATCACATGTAACTTAATTATAAAAATAAAAATACCAACAATTTACTCACCACAGAGGACAGTAGCGACATAAGCTTGTGTATAAATTACTTAGTATAAAAATACCAAAAAATTTAATCACCACATAACAGTCAGTCTGTCACACCCTTCCCCTCACAGCTCACTCGGGCAAATGTTCGACCAGACAAGTCACATTGGGGTGTTCAAGTCTTTAATATTAACCTAAAAGAATAGCATAATATATACTGTATATACCTATGCTATTCTTTTATGTTAGTTCAGGTTGTGTTATTTTTGTAAATTATAGGTATACAAACAGTGGCAAACATTTTAAAATAATTTCTAACTCTGTATTGTATGGTTTATCCACAGAATGTTACCAAAAATTGATGATAGCCACTTTAGTAGGAGTCTGAATCCAACTTTGCTCGGCAGCTTTTGTGTAATATAAGGTAGAAATTTGAAAAAAATATTCTTGTGTCAAACGTAGTACAGATGGTGTGATAACAAGTGATGCAGCTTGTAGTATTAATGGAAGGATTAGATGAAAGAAACTGGTATTATGGATGATTAATCGTCATTGGATGAGTCATTAGAATAATTTCAGAAGGGAGAGATGAACTTGGGTGGTTATGTGAGAAAAGACAAATCTACATGAATGACAGTAAGAGGAAGGTGATTGTGGTGAAAATAGTTTGCTGGTTGTGACAGAATCCACCATAACACTGTTGTTAAGTGTTAGAATATTTAGTTTAATGCATGTTTTTTTTTTCATTTCAGAGATGCTGTAAGTGGATGTACAGTAGTCATCTTGATTGATGGAAAAGTGGAAGTTGTGGTAATTGTTTAAGTTAAAATCCTGAACAAAATGGCTGCTGCTAAACAGTGTAATTTTGAAGCTAGTACAGGTATCTCAACAGCAGCTGAAACATTAAAAGTGAATGAGGAAAACAGAAAAAGAGTCATACCTGAAAGTACAAGTATGACTAGTGTTCAAGATTCAGGAATATGTTCTAACCAGGACCCATCTGCTAATGAGAGAGAAACATCATTACCTTCCCAGGTGCAATCTAGTCGAGAAAATGAACCCTCTGCTTATGTAACATCAACACCAATTAAGAAGAAAGTAAATGAGAAAATCAGTGAATTTGAAATTTTACCCAGTCAGATGATTCTTGATGACCCGCTTTTATCCTCTATTGATGAGCCCGGAGATTTGACAGAACACCAGGTTGACAGTATAGTATCGGACGATGACTTTGAAGATAACTATTCAAAATTATACGAAACAAAGATAAAAACAGATTTTGATACTACCAAAAAATATTCCCTTATGACCAGATTTATGAATGATGTGTCAACTAGACCAAGAATACAAAGAAGTCATTCCTTCTCCGGCAGTGTTAAACAAATTTCCTCAGAGTCAGAACCATCGTCTGTAATGAAGAATCTCTTTGATATTCCTGTGAGCCCAAAACTGAAGAGTCGAGTGCGTCAGCGCCTGTACACTTTAGTTAATTCTATTGATGGTTATCAAGGAAAAATCAATATTGAGGAAGAAGAAGAAAATATCAGAAAATTATGTTTGAAAACAGTCGAGTCCGTGTCAAATTCTAAAGTGAACATATCTGCAAGTACTCAAACAAATGCAAATTTAATTGTTGATTCAAAGGGGAAACCACATAGAAGTGCTTGTATGAAAGGAGATTTTGAAGATACCATTTTATTAAAGAACAATGTAAATAACACCAATGTGTGTAAATGCCACCCACAAGGTTGTAGTGTATTAAACACCAGTGATAAAAAACATGCCTCAAGTCTAGATCAAACTGTCTTATCTACTCTTAGTCATAATGTAAGTGAAAAGTATGGTAGTGTTATGTCCAGTTTACTAGAATCTCAGATGAGAACACTTCAGCTCCACCAGGAACAGCTCAACCAGGAAAAATTAAGTCTTGCCATGCAGAAAAAAGATCATGAAGCTCAAGCCAGAATATCTGTGTATCAAGAAAAGTTGCAGCTAATGATCCAGGTACAGTACAGTAAATTATTGGTGATTCCCTGGGCTTAGTAGTTGAGATGGGTTTAATTCCATTTTGTCATTTCAAATTCAAATCCAATTCTTTCAAAATAAAAATAAAAAACATTTTCAATTCAATTCAAATAATTTTTTACAAAGAAATCATCAATTCCAATTCAATTCATGCACTTTTCAATTATTGGATTGTGTTATAAAAAAATGGTTTCATAACAGCAATTTTATTTTCATACAAGTTGACAGCATACACTACTGTCTACTACACACTAACAAATAATATTAACTGCCACATAATTGTTCACTATCATTTGTATCTTGATCATTTTTCACTACTAAACAGTCCGGAAGTTTCATCCATACTGACAATTTCCAATCGCATTTTGTCCTGTATATTAGATGCTTTTATAATATTTTTCATGATTGGCAAGTTATCCAATATTAGTCTGAATTTAGTTGGCAAGTTTCCCACATTAAGCAATGTACCTTGTTATTTCAAAACATTCAAGTGTAAACCAGTTTCACACACATTAGATATATTGAACAAACTTTGAAAAATATCAATAATACTTTGGGCACAAAAAAAAACCACATTTTAATATTTTGATATACTACTGTAACATTAATTCACATCTACTGTATTCATCAAATAATTTTCAATTCAATTCATTTAAAAGTTTCCTTTAATTCCAATTCAACCATTTTCCCAATCAATTCCAATTCAACCATTTTCCCAATCAATTCCAATTCAACCATTTTCCCAATCAATTCCAATTCAACCATTTTCCCAATCAATTCCAATTCAACCATTTTCCCAATCAATTCCAATTCAACCATTTTCCCAATCAATTCCAATTGAATTCATAATTGACCCCATCCCTGATCAGTAGTTATGTCTGCGCTCTTCATTACCCCTTAAACAGTGGCCATCATCAGTGGATGGTAGCAGTAGGCATGGCAGCCAACATCAACGAATGTTTCATGCTTCCTGTGTTCCAGCTTTTGTGCATGTGGAAGTAGATTAGAGAATCTTTAGCTGCTGTTCAATGGTTAATCATAATCTGTTTTCTGTATACAGTACATTTAAACCAGGTGTGTTTATGAGGTGTCATTAAATATTTAATTTTACAACTTGGTACTGAACAATAACTTACAGTAATTATGTATTGTACTTATTTTGCTTCTTTACTCCTTTTGTGTTCTCCGGTATAACTTGTGGTTTCTCCTTAACGCTAGTCCATTATCTTACAATGACATCTTCATCAATGACAGTTGTGTTTCATCAGTACAATACTGTACCTGTATTGCTCTTTTCATGGATATAAAATAATGTTCCTTCACTGCTCACTGCATTTTAATAACTAAGTGTCATTCTTAAAAGTTTTTTATACTGCCTTTATACTTCCTACCATAGTAGTAGAGAGCCTGAAGGGATCAGCTGGATTCACAATCTTGCTGGTGAGTCATTTTTTTGTGCGAGTGGCTCCTTGGACTTTTTTCATACTACAGTATATCCTATTAAACACCAAGACAAGTGTGGGGATATATTTACTGCATATGGGATGACAACAGTCTTGAGTGGCAATAATTTAGAAAGGATATTAGTGATCAGCTTCAAGCCATTGAAGAAATGCAAATTTTAAAGAATTGCTGTCAGCAAATATTGTCGTTCCTACTGTAGGGCCACCTTGTCACTCTTATCAATTGTCAAAGGGTCAATAACAACAGCTGTCATTGCATACACGTTTGGCTGTGATAAAGACTGAAAGGTGTAACTGTTTGACAGGTTTAGCCAGCTTTTTTTCTGGAGTAACAAATGGATTCTGACACTGGATATTGAATGTGCTGGTAAAAACCAAATGTAACCCATAATTTTTTCAGATAAAATGTGGGATTTCAAGATTGATTTTCTTCCTTTTTTTTTTTCAACAGATGGTGGAAGAACTAGAATTTAAGTTGTCAGAAATGCAAAAGAAGATGAGAGACCAAGCTGAATATTATCAACACAAGATAAAAAAACAAGATGAAGTGCATAAGGAAAGTTTGGCAGTGATGAGAATGGAATGTGAGAAAAAGGTATAATATACTCACTTTAAAGTATTTTTCCCTTTGTCACGTAGATATGAGAAATACGTATTATATTCCCACTGGATAGCAGAATGGGTATATTGTACAGCATAGGTACAGTATTTTTGTTACATTGATCATGTGTCTGTTCCAACTTGTTTTTACTTAAATATTAGGTATACAGTACAGGGGTATGTTGTTTAATTTAGTCTTCTGTAGTTGCCTGAATTTGCCAGGAAATAACATGTAATCCATTATATAGTTTTCTCATCTACGTGCCTCAATATAACTGACTACACTCTCCCATATACAGTAGTCCATTAAATAGAGGTCTCGGTGTACTGTGCTTTTCTCATAATATTTGGTGGAATTATGCCTTTGTGCATGTGTGCAGGTATGCTACACAGAATATTATTTTCAAAGTGGTTCCTGCTTGCAAGAGCTGTGATAGCTATTTCTTCAGGTGTACAACAAAAACTGTTATTTACCATTCATATCCAGGCAAGCTAAGTGCCTGAACCTACACAAGCTACACAGTCAAGACATATGGCTACTGTTACTACTGTATTAGTACAGTAATGGAGTCAACAGATGCTCCCAGACAACATTCTTTCTATGCAAGATGTATCACATTATGTTACATGAATGTCCGTCCAGGGGTCTCATGCCTATGAATTGTCAAAATTGAATCCATTGAAATTGTTATAAAATGATACAAACTCATGTTTTTCACTAAGTCCATGGCAGTAAGAAAGTAGGGCATAAAAAAGGAATTTTGATGTCACTGCAATTACAGGTACTACCCTGTACTGTACTGTATGTTAATTTCTTGCATTTTATACAAATATGTTTTATTTTAAAGCTCAGAACAGTATTTTAATACATGAGCCACCTAGCTGTTTTAAAATATTTTTTCTATTACTTATGAACACTATTAATGTACTGTACTATGTGTGATTTTGCACTTGCATGAACCCTTCAAGAACACTACCATGTCTATAAATTGGGGTCTACTGTATCTTTCTTGATATTTATGTATCACTGCTGTATGTTAGTGCTGCTGTTAGCAGCTTTATACATTCAGAGTTAATACCATGAACTGGGGAGACTGGACGTGGAGTGATTTTGGACATTATCTGAGTAAAAAGTTGTAATGTTAGGTACTTGGTAGCTGCTAGACAAAATAAGCAAACACATTTGTCTTGTCAGCAAAACAGTCCTCTGATATATTGTGTATTTTTCCATGTACTGTAAGTATTGCTTACTATTTTATGGTGTAAGTGTTGAATGATAATCAATGACTAAATTTACTTTTTTTTTAAGGAAAATCTAATAATGTATACAGTATACTGTAAAACCTTCTCTGTTAGAAATGTCTGAAGTAACCCCAATTCACATTCTCTTTTAAGGGACCCACTGGTGAGGTTTAGATATTGGCTGTACAAATGTACTACACGTAGGATTTTGATATTCTAATTCTAGAATATTGTGTTGTTTTTACAGATGCATGAACTAGAATCTAGAATATTATCAGTTCGCAAGGAAATGACACAATCCTGTGACCAAAATATTTTGGCAGTGTTATCATCTACACAAGAAAAGGCAACGGTAATTGAAAAAGAACATGAAGCACACATCCTTCAGTTAAATTCTGTCATCAGCAAACTAAGGGTAAGTAAATTAATCTTAATTTTAGAATTTTCAAAAAGATGAAATCAAAATTTTACAATACAGTACTGTACTTAGTGGCTGAAATATTGGGTAAACAATTATTGAATGCAGCCTAAACTGTATTGCGTGCTATGATGCTGCTTGCCATCTCATGAATGAGTACCTTACGTACACTATATAATGTAAGAAACATCACTGTCAATGGTCACATTATGTCTTACTTAGCTGTATTGTACTGTGCTGTACTTGTAAAATTGTGCCATAATCTTGTTTGTGTGTGAGGTATATGAATTATATTTACAGTACAGTATATTCTGAATATGGTGTAGTCATATGAAGGGTCATTAATTATCACTAATTATTTAAACATTTTGAGCTTATATCCTTAAACGTGCAGCACATTGAAGAATATCTTTGTGTAAAAATTTAGCAGAATTTAAATTTTGCTCTGTGACAAAATGCACTTTTATCTGGAAAGTGAAACGTTAAGTGTTTAAATGGTAAAGCCAGTCTATAATCATGGTTAAAGATATGAAAATGTGGTTTGTATCTTACAGGCATTTTATATACATAAATTCCTGATAAGTGATGAAATGATAAATAAATAAGTGTTGAAATTACTGTATGTCATGGATCATTGATTAATGCTGATTATTTTATTTTTAAATTCTTGAAGCAATATCCTTAACCAGCATGTCGAGGAGTTCCTATTGTATGAAATTTGTACAAATTCTAAAGGTAATCGGTCAGGTACTTTAGGCTCAAAGCATCTGTTATATGGAAAGTGACAATTTATATGTTTTAAGTGTATATTCATGGTAAAAATTAAAAAAAAAATTGGTTTGAAACTTATGTGTAATTGTTGTTTTAATTACTGTACATTACTGTACTTCTTTTTTCCAGGCAGACAAAAGAGAACTTGAATTTTCCTTAGAAAACTCGTATTCAAACCCTGACAACAAGGAACTAGATGCAAACATTGCTGAGATTTGTAATGAAAAAGACTCCCTGAAACAAGAAATTGATACATTGAAACAAAGGTATGTGCACCACTGGTACCTTCCAGTCTGTTCCCCTTGGCCTGTACTGTAATGTGCATTCTTTTACCCCAGACAAAAATAGTGTTAGAAGCATTCAAATTTGTCATATTTTGTATGGTGTTTTGCTATTTATTATTAACTGTATTATTATTACCTATATATCATATTTTACGGCTTATAAGACACACTCATATTTCAGCAGGGAATATTTAGGGGAAAAAATCTTGTACGTATGTATTTTTCTCCTGTGGCCATAGTTTTATTAAAATAATATATTGTAGACTGTACCAGTAAATGTGGGGAATAATTAAAAATAATACCAATAAATAAAATAAAACAAAAAGTACTGTTCTGTACAGTTTATTTTTCACGCCAAATAAAGAAAAAAATACCTGTACTGCATTTGTGTTCCCAGTACAGTATCATATCTCGGATATTTTCTCACAAACCTACCAAGGTATTATATATACGTATAGGTATAGAAATGGATTTTTATATGCTTTCCAATGGTGGCTTTGGATTTCTGATGACTATTTATGTGGAAGGGGGGGGGAGAGGAAATGTAGAGACAAATGCGACCCACCAACACGGCTGATGGGAGGAAACTGATGAACAGTAGAACTCCATCCATGCTCTAGTACTTTCAGGAAGCTTCATCTATGATGCATGAAAATTTGACTCATTATTTTGAAGAAAAAAATGCAAATCTTTTAAGTTTAATGGTACGATTTGTGTCACCGATGCAAATAGTGCTACCCAATGAATTGACGTGATTCACTTCATGATGTGCGTGAGGGTTAACACGCAAATGTAAAAACAAAAATTACATATATCTATAAATCTTTATTTGTATCAGGTATTTGTAGATTTAAAGATAAATGTTGCAGGTATGACATTAAAAAGATAGTAACGCTTGTAAGAGTTCAGAAACATTTACTGCTTAGCTCTGAAGAGGTGGGTGCTTACTGTACAGATGGTAATTGTCCCAGGTTATCAATATCATTAGTTATAAATTTAGTTTTTATATTTACAATAAATATTTTTAATGAAATAAAATTAATAATAATGTGTAAGTAAGCAATAACTTATTTTTAATTCTGGAGTTGGGCTAGGTATAATTTAGCCTACTGGAGACAGCAACTGGGGGATTCATTAGCCTATGGAAGAACACAACTTCATATAAAGGACGGGGCTGATTTTATTGACCATTTTTTTCAGAAAAATTGTGTTTTATGTGCCGTAAAATATGGTAAGTAGCATATGCCTTTTTTTATGAGCTTCTTATAGTTGGGGCTGAAACAGCTCCTCTAGTACTGTATATGTAAGATGACTTATGTCAGTACATTCAAACCAACAGCTAATCTTTCTGTGGACAGAGTAGAGGCTGCGCTAACCAAGATCACACGCGCAGGGAAGAAAATCAAATACCATAAAATCAGTTTATCTTTGCACCCAGCAGGATACTACACAAATGTTGTGAGGCAGTGAGTTAATATTGCCTCTAATAATGTTTTATTTAATGTTGTGTTGATAGTTTGATTTTTAATGACACAAATTGAGTGTTTTGTCTACCTCAGGTTAAAAGCACCGTGTGATACAGATGAAACAGTTGTTGCACTCCAAGAGGATATATCAAATTTAGAGATAGCCAAAAGACTGCTTCAGGAAGAAGTTGACGTGTGGAAGAAAGAATCAGAAACACTGCAACAGAAATTAAGTGCTACTGAACTAGGGCACAAAAAGTTATTAGATGAAGCTCTTCAGGTGTGTCTTTTCTTAAATGTATTTTTATATAAATTTAAAGTTGTTGAATTGGTTCTACTTTACAGTACTGTATATAATGGGTAACATAGAGAGGTGGAGATACAGTAAAGAACTTTCAGCAAATTGATATTGATAACTTTTCCACAGAATTTTCATGAACAATAACTGTAGGGGTACTGTACCAGTAGGAACTTATTCAGGTTGTTGGTATTACACTGCTGATACCAAGATATTTAAGGGCCTCCTATAACTTGCAGACTCCTTCATTATATAATTACAACTACAACTACAAGGAAAAAGGTAACTTAGCTTGGACATACAGTACATTATCACTGGCTGAAAACCAAGGAAATTTATCCTCTTTTTTTTTTAAAGATAAATTTGGAGTGTTAAGATTTATGATGGCAATGTTATTCCTAGAGAGCACTTGGCAGGCTATCCCTTAACCAATCAAATCTTTTAAAACTGCTCAGAATTCAAGTTAAGATTTTCTTGTAATTAGATTAGTATATACAGTATATTTGTTTAGGAACTAAGGTGGTTGAAGATTATTACAGTACCGGCATCATCATCATCATCATCATCATCATCAACATCCAGGTCACCATCAAGTCTGGGAAAGACTAGTGGGAGAATATACAGTATCTAACAATGTATACAGACTCCAAAGCCCATGTACTATTTCCTACCTTACAATAAACACTGGGAAATATATAATGGTTGATTGTTGTTAGATAGTTTTGGATATTCCCATTTGCATCAATACAGTACGTACATAGATTTTAAACAACAAATCTTTGAACTAGATGTGGAAAATATGTATATAATTATTGATGGATATCGTTTTGCGCCATCTGGTTACTTGATAAGTAGACAAACATGAAAAATCCCTCAGTTTTTATCACCATATAAAGTATCATGTTTGTGTTGGATACATTTTCTGGGAAATGGTGTTAAATGAATGGAAAACATTAGCATGATAATGGACAAAGGAATAAGTCAGTAGAAAGATAGATGCATGAGTGAACAGGTTTAATGATTCACTCTCTCAGCTCCTTTTCTCTTGCAGTTGATGAATGGTTACTAGTAATTTCTTATAAGATGTAAAGAAATTTGTATCATTTTTGCCATATTTTATAATAATTGTAATTAACTATTTCAGGGATCACACTTATTGGCGAAACAGGAAGTGGAAAGACTGCAGATACAAAATACTCGTGAAAATGAGAGACTTAATAAGACAATTACCCTATTAAAAGAGAAGCAATCTCAAGCTTTATCTGAAGTAAGTACTGTACTAAAGCCCAATAAGTTTATTATATTGAAAGAAATAATGACTGATCCGACTGTGATTGATAAAGTCTGCATTATTATTTTTGGTTTTATTATTATTATTATTACTATTATTGTATTATTATTATTATTGTATTATTATTATTATTATTGTATTATTATTATTATAATTACATAGGTATTATTATTATTGTCACCATGGCTATTAAGTATTTTCCTGGATAGTGTAGTAAGAGAGGCAAAAAAGAGTAATGGAGAGGTGTTCATGTTTGTTACATAATGATACAAGATATAAATGGTAAGTGACTTAGCTGTAGATGGCACTGCTCTGGTAGGTGATTCTAAGGAAATGTTTTAAATGTTAATGAATGAACTTGGAGGATTACGGTATGTATTAGGTGAAAGTTAATACCAAATGTAAATTAAAGTAATGATGAAAATAATATGGGGAGGGAGACAGAAATGAATACAGGGGGTCTTCATTATATGTTGAGGATGTGTTCCAGATAAATGCAACTTATAGTGAAACTTTTTATAGTGAGGAATTTTACCCCATAAGAACTAATGTAATTTGGGGTTTATTCATTTCAACATGGACAGTAATATCCCTTGAAAGCTCAGGATGTTTTCTTGGAAAGAGAACTTTCAGTAACTCAGCTTACAATTGGATCATTATAACAAACTGTATAGTATTTGATATGGAGATCCATTCATATCAACATTATTTATTACCTTTGAGTGATACTTGATGACTCAATTTTGTGACATGTACACTTAGACAACTGATCAGTGAATAAACCAGGGTATATGGAGATGCATTATACACAACAATAACATTTATTAAATACTGATAAATACGCTGCAATATTATTTGCTAAGTGCTCAATACAGATCCTGTGGTGAGCACCAACCCTCTTGAGCAGTGACAACAACATTGCTTTAGTGGTGAGTGCTGGCAACATTGTTAGGGAGAGTGGGAACAATCAGCTGTTGCCACTCTGTAAATGAGAGACCGGGAGTATAATACGACACAATAACTCATCTAAGGTAAGGTGTGGGATTTTGGGGGGATATTTATTATTTTACAATAATGTTTTATTAATCCGGTACCAAATGAACCTACGGTAAATAATATGGAAATTATGGTGAAATTACATACTGTCATTATAAAGGGATCATGGGTGTGGAAGAGTATAATAAAGACCCTCTGTACTCACTTGAATGGAGGAATGAGGTATTTCTGGTATATTATCTAGGAATGAATGTGTCAACAGACTGAACAGTGAGTGATGAAAGAGAGTACAGTAATAGGTACACTGAGAAATATTCGAACAGAGTGAACTGTACCAAAGGAGGCTAAGATGGGGAATTACAAGGGAATGGTTTAACTAACATATGGTTGTGAAGAATGGACTGTGGATGCAAGAGGCATGTATAAATTTGAAGTGATGAGCTTGAGAGTATTATGTGGAGTGAATAGGATCAAGAGAAAAATACAGAAATATGGTGTGGAAATGAAAAGTATATTGGCTAAAGGGCAGATCAGAGTTTGCTCAGGTGGTATGAACATATTGTACTAAGTTTTATTCTGAGATGGATGGTAAGAGAGAGAAAACCAAGGAGATGGTATTATGTACTAGACGTAAGTTGAATAGACATTCAGGAAACAGTATTGTGCATGAATGACTAGAGAGCATGACATTTGAGTGCTTTAGGGGTGTGGGAGTACTGCTGATAAGTGATGCTGGCTTATATGAAGTGACAGGTTAAACCATATTTGAGGCCTTACTGTGGAAGGGGAATACTCCAGCATGACATTTGTTATACTGTAGCATTAAGAATGACTGACACATAATGAAAGGAGTTTTTTGTTCTTGATTTGGCTATTGCATTATAGGGAGAAAGGGTTGGAAGGAGTGAGAAAAAAGGAATAGAAATTTGTTCTTTAACTGCCATAAAGCTCTGAATGGCTAATCGGCTCTAGTGCTTGGCTTTGAGTCTAAAATCCATAAATCAATCAATTTAATTGCCATAAATAGTTTGTCTCCACTGTGTTAAGTCCCAAATTATACTTAGCCATAAACCATTTCATTTCCTGGACAGTATTCTTTTCTACTTATATTTTTTTTGTACCTTTGCATGTACTGTACTTTACAGTATTATCAAAGGATCTGTCAGTCATTATACCTTCCATATACTGCTTCAAATGCTTTTACGAACAAGTACAGTATAGTCTGGATTTACGCGGTCAATTGAACCCGTGGAGGTCAGCGTAAAACCAGAAACGCGTAAATGAAATAACAGAACATATGGGATTAATTGAAACAGAGACTGGGCTGACCCCCAAACTCCACTTTTTCCGACACAATACGTACAGTACGTTGCAGTAAAAATAACATCTTAATTTTATGATGGTATGCTCACACAATTAATATTTAAGAGAAATATCAATAATATTAGGTTTTTTAACACTTACGTTAGTAGAAAAGCTGGGTCGGCACACGTGGATGGTGGCTGGTTCCGAGGCAGACGGCAGATTAGTTGCCCTCCGGTGAATCACTTTCACTACTTGCAGAGGTTTGCAGGGCCTCCCAGACAAACCCCTCAAAGTCCATATCCTCATTATCACTATCACTGACTTGGGCTGGCTGTGGTTGTGGTGGGTTGCGGGCGAGGAAGTCCTCAATACTACTGTACTTTGACGACTAGCATTGATGTTGTCGAGATAGATCTAGATATACGGCTCCATAACTTTCGACAGCAGGTTATTAGACACTTCATTCTGATGCTTGACTGTGTCTTTGTCAAGGATGAGCTTAATTTTCTCCCCCAATTCGATGATTTCCTTCACATTATCATGGCTTGGTCCAGGTTCAAGGTTTTTCTGGGGTGGTGGGGGTCCAGCGGAGGCCATTGTGAGAGGAATAGCAGGCACAAGAGAGAACTGTATACACGGAGAACTGAGAACAATGAGACAGGCCTGACTAGGTCAGCGACTTCTACCCTCTGGTGGCAGGGCACGTCATGTTACATTAGACCAATCACAGCTAGCGGTGGAGGGAATACGTGGGTGGTAAGGATGCGTGGCCCAATCACAGTCCGATACGTCATATGACGTCAGCGATAACATAAGAGCGACCTAATGCGCACCACTCACCGCGCCGCTTCCCGCATATGGTCAAGAATGGACAGTGTGAGTAAAAAATGGGTATGCGGTCTGGACCTCTCCAGTCGCTCGCCGCGTAAATGACCAAATTTACCGCGTAATTAAAGCATTTCAATTCTGGCAAGGCACCGCGTAAATGACCAAACGCGTTAACAAAAACCGCGTAAATCCAGACTATACTGTACTGTATTTTCTTCAACACATTTATCTACCTCATTTTCATTTTTTAGTCATTTTACTTCTCTTAATGGTGATACTATATAGGTAAGACTTACTAATATATCCAATTTTTTTCAGAATTTAGTCCTTCGGCAACAGAATAGTCAACTTCTTAAAGTAGAGAAAGACCATAAGGAGTATTCATCCTCAAGAGAAACATTAGAGAAGGAGGTGGCTTCTCTTAGATCAGAGCTGCAACAAGCAGAATCTCAAGTACTTCAACAACAGATGAATTTTAAACGCTTACAAAAAGCGCATGCCAATGAGTTAACAAAGTACCAGGAAGCTCATAGACAAAGAGTGAGTTTTTATGCCAAGTTTTTGACCACATTTGTTACATTTAGCAGTCAGTCAAATTTTTCTTTGAAACTTTCCATCTTCTTTTTCTACAGTACAGTATATTCCTATTTTCATTCTTAATTACCAATAGTAGTTAGCACTTTAGTTTTATCTTGAAAATTGTTGTTAATAATAATAACTTTTTTTTTTCTCAAAAGTACCAGTTCTTCTAAAGAATTTACTTGGGCTCGAAACACTACAAGTTTGTATATCCTTAGGTTGTAACGCTTTCTAAACTTTGTCATTCTCCATCACCATACCCTGTTCAGGATCATAAATTAAAAAAAAAAGTCTTAAGCCTTTGAAGGCTCACTTCATATAGATTCTTTGTTTTTAAATATAGTTATTTAACCAGACTTTTAGATAAAATATTTAGGATTATTTGGGTAAATAAATGGTGTTTTTAACTTATTTAGAACTGATTTTATAGACTCTGGTATCAACATATTTTACGTTTTTTTTTTTCGTAAAAGAATCGAGTCCCCATCATTATATCATGCCAAAATATTTTGTTGAAGGATCTTTTATTTTTGCTCGCGTCCGTGATCCAAATGTAATGGGAGAGTGTTTGTCCATGCGAGATGAGATGATATGTGTAGTTTAGAGTCGAGATGAGATCAGATGCATAGTTTAGACTCAGAAAACTTTCCCCAGTACCCAGAAACATTTTGGGGATATGCGATAGTGTCTGTCCACAAGAGATGCATAGTTTAGACTCTCGGAAACTTTCCGAGTACAGTACCCTGAAAAATTCCGGGGATGTGGAATTTTTCCGGGTTTGAGAGAGCCATTTCGTTGCCCAGAAATCTCTCATCCCCGGAAGAGCTCTTCATCGTTTGTTTCGGCCAACAGGGATATCACTGGATAGACTGTAAACAGAAGTGGTCCCAAAACTAATCCCTGTGGGACTCCAAACTGACCATCACATATTAAGATCGCTCTGACAAATAAGACTCAAGCAGTGAGAGTGCTTCATTAAGGCTGCAGAGATATCCAACAAGACCAGGAGGGAGGGCTTTCCCCTGTAAGTGTTTATTATCAAATAGTTATGACTTTTGCATTAGGAAGTTTCAGTTGAGTGATGCTTTCTATAAGCTGACTGGACCAGAGGATCACTCCATTTCTCTTTAGCAGAGGAGGCAACTGATCCAGCATAACTTGTTCAATGATCTTTGTTAAAAATAGAGATTGGAGACCAGAAAACAATCTGACATTTTCAGCATCAAGACCTAGTTTCTTAAAAAGTGGATGCAATAAAGCCTGTTTCTCAGATCACACAATATTGTCCCCAGCAAAGCATTTATTTATGATTATACAAGTAAAGTCTGCAGTATGTTCATAAGCGAGTGGTACCTTAGATACATTTATAAGTTCAAGATGACAAAAGGTTTTCTTTGAATCCTTGATATAGTTTAGAATGTTCACCCCTACAGGACAAACCAATGAAAGAGTGAGGTCTGTGGTGTAATTGAAAATTCCTCATTCAAAGAAACATGATCAAGGTCGCTGTACTTATATTTGATATCTCTCTTAAAAAACAAGTTGAACATCTGAGGTGGAAGAAGGCATAATAGTTCTTTTGTTTTAGGGGCTCTTTAACTGTCTGGGTCATTTCTTGTTGATGTAATCTTGTAATCATTATTTATTATTTTTTTTTTACAATGTAATATTTCAGTATACAGAACTGTACATATATTTTATCCCAGATGCTTAACTATCAAGTTTCCATGGAAAGAGAAAGATCATCAGCAGTATCTCAAGCCCTGGCCCGCCAACAGGAAGAAACAAAAATCCTCATAACAGAAGTTGGATCTCGTTATGAAAATTTACTTGGAAGTGTTCAAGCACATGCTAAAGCTCAGATGCATGAGTATAAAAAGGTGAGTTTTTAATTACATTAACATTTTATAAGCAATGGTAGTTACTGGATAGTACAGGCAATGACTGTTATATAATGGAATGTAAAAAAATTAATACCATTTACCACTATGCGATGGCTAAAGATCAGTTTTATGATGGTTGCTACCTGAATGCTTTTCCTACATTGTCACTGTTATGAAAAAGTGATGTGTAATAACTTGCAATATTCAGAGATATCATGACCCAATTTCAGAATGGTGTAACACATATGACACATGCAGGAGGTACTGCCCATCCTTGGTGATTGCCAGGCTAAGCAGTTGAACTATCACATAGCCCAGAGGATGGTTTGTGTGTAGAAGAAGCTATTCTCTCTACATAATAATTATATATACTATACATTACCAGTAAATGTACATATATCAACTCAAAGTTATGAGTTAAAAAATAACAATAACAGCTTCACCCGGTAGCAGGAGAGGCAAGGTAATGTGGCAACTGTGAAATCTAACTTGGCTACCTGCCAAATCCACACACACACACGCGTCAATGTAAGGTAAATTAAATTATTCTTTATAAATTTAAAGTTTTGTCTATTTATAAATTATTTGACTTATTTAGACATTATTTAATCATTATAGCAGTAGGATATAAAATTTATTTGGGCTTTTCAGGGGCTGAGGAACATAGCCTATTTTCTCCATGAGTTATTAATATCAATATACGATCGATCGCTAAGTGATGTCTTTTTGGGGTCCCTAACTCCAGGTCCCAAACTCCATTGTATAATGGTCATTGCCTGTATTATTTTTGGCTAAATACAGTACAGCATGCCCTTCAAATTCGTGGGGGTTACCAGTAGGTTCTCAAAATGGCAACAAATTGTCAAATCCGCTAGTAAAATTTGCTGACCAGGGGGAGGGAGTACATTTTTACTTATTTACAAAGAAATATATATTCCCTTTATGTGTTTGCCCTTAGGTTCAATTATTTCTTTTACCTGTATTGTATATATGTGTGTGTGTGTGTGTGTGTAGACACACACACACACACAAAATGCATACAAATAAATAATAATGGAAAAATCCTCTCACAAATAATCAGAAATTAATGTAGTATTAAAAATGTTGAGTGTACCCTCAAGTCTACTCCGTGCTTTGTTATTAATAAAGCACAGAGTAGACTTGAGGGTAGACTCAACATTTTTAATACTACATTTGTTTCTGATTATTTGTGAGAAGATTTTCCTATTATTATTTATTTGTATGTGTTTTGTGTGTGTGTGTGTCTACACACACACACACACGTATATACAATACAGTACAGTAAGTCTTCGTTTAACGTTGGGGTTACGTTCCTAAAAACGCGAAGTTATATGAAACAATGTTAAGGGGATCAATTTTCTCCATAAGAAATAGATAAAATACGGGAGTTATGTGACTGAGCCTCCCTTTGCCCCATGAAATACATAACACATACAGAAAATCATTGCCATTTCTATAGAAAATAATGCATACATATACAACTACTAAGTTTGTATTGGTACTCACCGATGGGTGGAGGTGGTAGAGTGAGTGTGTGGTGGGTAGTGAAGCAGAGGAGGCTGATGGCGGGAGAGGAGGAGTATGGCGGGAGCGGAGGAGGAAGGGGGTGATGAGTCACTGAGACTCTGCGCCAAGCCGAGAGAGCGTAGCGCGGCCAGACGAGAGAGGGTGATGCACCGTAAAATGGAGTCTGTGACGCAAAACGACGTACAGTATAGTCTCCATTTACTCAGTCAATTGAACCCGTGGAGGTCCGCGTAAAACAAGAAACGCGTAAACAAAATAACAGAACATATGGGATTAATTGAAATAGAAACTGGGCCGACTCCCAAACTCCACTTTTTCTGACACAATACCTACCTTGTAGTAAAAATAACATCATAATTTTATGATGGTATTGACACACACATAATATCTATATAAAAAACTACACTACTGTATAAATATAAAGGTTTTTAACACTTACGTTAGTAGAAGAGATGGGTCGGCACACGGTGATGGCGGCTGGTTCCTAGACAGAGGGCAGATTAGTTGCCCTCCGGTGAATCACTATCACTATTCACAGAGGTTTGCAGGGCCTCCCTGACAAACCCCTCAAAGTCCATATCCTCACTATCACTGACTTGGGCTGGCTGTGGTTGTGGTGGGTTGCGGGCGAAGAAGTCTGTAATACTACGTTGACTACTAGCATTGATGTTGTCGTGATACATCTGGACATACGGCTCCATAATTTTCGACAGAAGGTTATTAGACACTTCATAACGATGCTTGACTATGTCTTTGTCAAGGATGAGCTTGATTTTCTCCCCCAACTCGATGACTTCCTTCACATAACCATAGCTTGGTCCAGGTAGTTCAAGGTTTCTTGGGGGTGGTGGGGGTTCAGCGGAAGCCACTGTGAGGGGAATAGCGGGCACAAGAGAGAACTGCATACGCGGAGACTGAGAACAATGAGACTGGCCCGGCTAGGTCAGCGACTTCTTCCCTCTGGTGGCAGGGCATGTCATGTTACATTGGACCAAACACAGCTAGCGGCGGAGGGAGGTAAGGATGCGTGACCCAATCACAGTTCGATTCGTCATATGACATCAGCGATAACGTAAGAGCGACCTAATGCGCACCCTCCCTGTGCCGCTTCCCGCGTAAATGGTGGAATGAACCGCGTAATTTTAAATTTTCATTCTGGCAAGGTGGCGCGTAAATGACCAAACGCGTAAACAAAATCCGCATAAATCGAGACTATACTGTAGTATCGGATCACCGGGACATCAAACAAATTTTTTTGTCTATAGTTTAGCGACGTAGTACTGAAACAACGTTTTTAAGTGGGATGACGTTAAGCGCGGACTTACTGTACAGGTAATGGAAATTACTGTCTGTAGAACGATTGACTCTCTCCCGGCCGCGAAAATGCCGGCAACTTTAAAATTACCTGCAGACATTCTTGGGTACATCCAGGGTGTCATCCACGAATAATAGAGGACCGCGAATTATCCGGACATGCTGTGTAGTATAGAAAGAGTTTTTGAAAACAATTTGATTTCTAAACAATGATACAGGGGGTATTTGTGTTTATGGCCCTAATATTAAATTTATTCCAAAAATTAAAGTTAGAAGGTCACTAGGTTTTAGAAAATACATGTACAGTCGCTAAAAAAAGTATCTGATAGGGTGGGTCCGATGACTTCTGAAATTATATGTACAACTCATGATGTCTCAGGAGGGTTGGTATGCGTGTGTGTTCACCCACGGTGAAGACAATCCTTGAAGAAAAATCCTTGCTACCTCATTCAATAAGGATTTTGGACAATTAGATTGCATCTACAATGTGTACAAATTCCAGAATGAAAAATTGACCAATAAAACTTTGTCATCTTGGGCAGATTTAAGTACCTGTATCACACTGTGGCTGTGCATGGGCAAGCTGAGCATTAGATTTTGCATATTTGATTTTTTTCTCATGAGTTTCATTTATATTTTTCTGTGTACAGTATTAAACTGTTGAAGTGGAAATGACAAGGGCTCTGTATATGCATAAATTTTCTTCTCTCTTCATTGCAGGCTGTTCAGTTTCTGAAGATGAAGATAAAAAAGATGGAGGAAGGAAAATGAAATTTGCAAATATTTTTGGAAAGTTAGACACTGTACGCTATAAACAATAAAAATTAAAAAAAAATCTATTAGATGTTCTTAGATTTATTAATCATCTTTGTTTGTTGAGGAATATCAGTACAGGGTAATAAAATTTTGAGCAAAATAATATTTTTTTTTTCAGATTATGGCTGGATTACTGCTGTATTGAATATAACTGAACCCTCTCTTAAGGAAGTTAATGAAATATCCCGAGGTTTTTGCCGTGATATTATTAATTTTCTAGAATAAGGGAGATGATCACTTCACACCATGACACATGGAGGAGCAAAATACAAAAAGGTGTCAGCTCCAGCACCGGAAAGACATGGTAATACAACTACATGAGATATCAGTGTTGTGGTAATACAACTAGTGGGATATCAGAGTGCTGTGGTAATACAACTAGTGGGATATCAGAGTGCTGTGGTAATACAACTAGTGGGATATCAGTGTTGTGGTAATACAACTAGTGGGATATCAGTGTTGTGGTAATACAACTAGTACAGTATACCCTTGCACTTCCGAACCTCTCGGAACCAGATTTCGGTTGACCCAAACGACATTTGGATGTGGCAGATTTGTATCAGGTCTCTCTCTCTCTCTCTCTCTCTCTCTCTCACAGTCTGTATGCCACGTTTACTGCACCGGTGCTAAAATGGACCCTGTTCGCATCTCCCGCTACTACTCACAGCATGCGTCCTCCCTCAGTCCCGCTTGTAGTCACAGTGTGCATACAGTATCTCGCTAACCTCTCACTCGCGCCCTTAAGTTGTTCCTTGTGTATTTTGTGCCTTGTCAAACATTACATTGCCCTTGCTGTCTGACAAACTCTGACTAAACGGTCATGAGTCCTACTATACCAGGGGTTCTCAACCGGGGGGAATTCCGGTTTTCAGGGGGGGGGGGAAAACTGATTCAGGAGCAAGAGATATGTTCGATGAGAAATCAATCACAGAATTTTGGCCCTTGATGTGCGATTCCTACCCAAAAGTGGCAGAAAGAGCTATCCGTGCATTGTTTCCGTTTGTGTCGACATATCTTTGTGAGTCAGGCTTTTCAACTCTGTTGCAAATTAAAACGAAGCAACAAGTAGATTAGAGGTAGAAAATGACCTGCGTTGTGCCCTTTCAAGCACTCCTCCGCGTATCCCAGAATTGGCGAAGAAAAAACAATCACAGGTTTCTCATTGACTGTAATCTTCATCTGAATAAAATTAATTACAAATTTACAATATCCTGGTATTCTATTGAACTTTTTGTTTATTGCATTATGCTTCAGTTTGGTCTGTTAAGTAATTCATTATAAAAAAAAAAAACTATTTTACTTTTATTCAAGTTTTATAAATCCATCAACATTTTCAATTGGCATTTAATTTGTAAAACTCCACTATAAAAATAATCCATGTAAAATTGTAAATGTATATGTACTAATATGGAAAAAATAAAGGATTTTCAGTATTATATGCATATTATTTGGAATGCACTTTTTGAGGCAGACAATCTTGGAAAGGAGGGGGGAATGACATTCTGACATATGGTGAAAGGGGTGCATGGGGCAAACAAGGTTGAGAACCACTGTACTATACGATCACGGCAAAACCCAAACTCCAGCATCTCTCACCAAAAGGTTAGTAATACATTGTTACTGTACGTATTATAATTAAAAGGTGGTAAGTTAAAATAATACTGTAATAACAACAATACTGTTTATAGAGTGCAGTAAGTCCTTGCTTAACGTCAGGGTTACGTTCCTGAAAATGTGACATTATACGAAACAACGTTAGCGGATCAATTTTCCCCATAAGAAATAGATAAAATATGGGAGTTACGTTCCTGAGCCTCCCTTTGCCCCATGAATACAGAAAATTATTGCCATTTCTATGGAAAATAGTGCATGCATTTACAACTACAAGTACTGTACTAAGTTTGTATTGGTACTCACCGATGGGCGGAGGTGTCTGGTGGGTAGTGAGGCGGAGGCAGCGGATAGTACGCACCGTTGTAGGGGTTAGACCAAGCACAGCGGCTATGTCCACAGCACATTCCCTTTTTTCAAAACGGGCTAATACATCCATTTTCGTAGCCAGGGTAATGGTTTTGCATTGCCTCTTCACTACACTAGTATCAGTAGCACTTGATGGGCGTTTGGAAGCCATTTCGAATGATTAGAGTACAGTTTTAGAGCAACGGCACTTAAGCAAACACGAATGATGTGAAGTCATAACAAAGGCTGGCTTGGCGTCGCTTGGGGACACCGTGATATTCCGCAAGTAAGGGCAGCGTGCCGAACCAAGGTAGCGTACCACGGCCAGACGGGAGCAGGTGGTGCGCTATAAAAAATAGTCCTTGACAACGCAAAACGACGTAGTATCCGATCACTGGGATGTTAAACGAATTTTCGGTCTAAAAAATTTAGCGACGTAATACCGAAACAACATTAAGCAAGGACTTACTGTAATACATTAATATAATAATTATTGTTGTTATGACTGTATTATTATTTAATACCATTATTACTACCGTATTATTATTGTTGTCAAAACAGTTCATGTACAATATTAGGATTATCATTAACGCGCTTTCATAACCCGATTTATCCAGAAGCCCTCTCCCCACAATTGTCTGGAAGTGCGAGCGTTTACTGTAGTGGGATATCAGAGTGCCGCGGTAATATAACTACAATAGTGGGATGTCAGTGTCATGGTAACACAACTAGTGGGATACCAGAGCATCATTCTATCAATGTCACAAAGCAGTACTGTTTCTCATAAGGACACAACAAGGACAGTATACACTTACAGAAGGGGGTGGCTTAAGAAAATTTGATGACACTGACTTTTGTTATGATATTTTAGTGTATTAAAGTTTTGTAACATAATGAGATGAATACTGTGAACCTCGACAAGTTACTGGGTGTTGATTTAGAGTTGTGTTTAGAGCAATATCAATTAAAATACATTCACAGTTTAATGTTGTTCTTATCATAAGCGGTTCACCCTTACCTCACGGACACTGAAATGTGATCAGTTGGACGCCTTTGTGTTTAAGTAATTTTATTATCTAATATTATTTTACAGATACCCGAGTATAAATATTCCATCAGGTTATATAAGAAAATTAATAAGAATACTAGTAAGAAATAGGTTGTAGTGATTTTATGCCATTGACGTTATAATGTTATTACTATGCTTTAGCTAAGCTTTTTAAAGCAGGAAATAAGGTTAGTAATTACACTGTTCATCAAATATCTGGAGCAAATTTAGGTTAAGGTACACGATGCTTCAGAAACTTGTTTGCTCGAACTTGAACCACAATTGGTGGAAGAGCAGCAGAGCTGTTTTGAATTTGGTAGGCGGTGGCATGCTGTCTCTGACTCATTCTTGTCCCTCTGCACTTGTTTACACTTATCGTATGTCTCCAATTTCAATTTTTTTTCATTATTTCTGACTTTGTATGTTATGCAATCATGCCTAAATGCTGCAGCGAGTTTCTCTTGAGCTGGGGGCAGCTTGCTGCGATGTGATAAGGCATATTAAGACTGGTCATGGATCAGCAATGATTGGTACAGTAGAGACTTGATTATTTTGTTATATTTTACTTCATGTGCTATGCAATCAGGTCTAAATGTCCCAGTGATATTTTCTCTTGGGACAGCTTGATGTGATGTGATAAGGAGTAATAAGAGTTTATGGATTTATTTGCGATATATTAATATTACCGGGTAACTCGAATATTATGTACGAGCTAAAAAAAAAGGCCAACTATAGTGAATAATGAAGCTCTGTTTTGTGTGCAAAACACAGTAGACAGTACTGTGAACCAAATTATTTACTGCTTATCAGCAGACATTTATTAGGTTTAAACTATGTAAGAAATCTCTTCAAAGTAAGGATAATCAAATTCATTACATCATATTGTTTCCATACGTATTCCAAAAACATTTAGGATACAAATCGCTTCATCTTCATTTCTTCCCAGTCAAAAAACAATTACCTGTCTCTTACAAGTTATGAGCCCTAAGATTACAGTTTCAGAAAACTGGATACCACTTGGTAGTGTTTTGTGTAAAAATAGGGGTCCAAATAAAAAATTTAGCAGGCTAATAAAAATAATGCCTACAAATCATATTTATATAAATTTAATTTTCAAGTAGCCTGAAACAAACCCTGATGAATTTATTTTAATACTTCTGTATACATATTTCAACTAGACTTCCTATATCACTTCTACAATAACATCAAAAACTTTGGTGGGTAGCAAGGTATCTCTTTGAGAAAAAAATTATCTTTAGATGATAATATTTACAGGCATATTCTAGACGTGTTATACCTGAGTCAAATCAAAGCAAGGCCATTTCCTATTTTAACTCTTCATAGTATACTTGTCTAAATTCACATTTTCCTACTTCAAAATAAAGGTACTGTATAAAAATGCAATACTTGTGTAACTTTACAATGAGATCTTGTATTAGGCTTCTATATGAGGTTAAGTAATAAGCACTGAAAAAAGAACAGAGATTAAGGGGTTAAATAAGTATCTACACAGGTAGTCAAACATGTATCTACACAAGATTATTTATCTTAAGAGTTAGCATCATATCTCCTGTTTTGGAAAAAATTCATAATCAACACCTTTTTTTTTTAAGATAAAAGTTGTAGACTTAATGTCTCGGACAATAACAAACTAAGAAATGTGTAACTCCACTGCTATTGTGAATCAACATATAAATTGCTTCAACATTTAACAATATAATGAAAATTTAATTCATTAGCTTGCTTTTATTCTTGTAAAGTCATATGAGAACTATCATCAGGATTCAGTCATGTTTGGTGAACTATTTTCAGGAATAAATAGGGAAGTTAATTCACAATTCCAGACAGAAAATATAATTACCGGTATAAACTATGATTCTCTTATACAGTTTTGGGCATTTGAGAAATAACTGTTAATTTTGTATCAGATAAAATGTGTCATTCAAGTTTCAGAAATATTAGCACTTGTCCTGTAACATTTAATACAAAAAAACATTAATTGTTACAGGATTATCAGTGATTTAGAATTCCATGGAAGTGGTTTTGTAACATTAATATACTTTGTACTGGTTGAGATTTGGTTTATATATGAAGTGCAGTGAGTTAGTAGTTAATTATACACTGATGCAACTTACTGTACACATACAACTGACATAAATAGAATGTATAGTACTTAAAGTGCCTGCAATAAATAAACCAAACACTAAAAAACTCATTTACTGTACTATACTAATACTATTATACTAAAAATAAGTTCAGAAATAACCCAGCTAATATCTAACTTCAGCTTTAGGATGCAATTTTGCAGCAACAGTTTGTTCACTTGGCAGACCCCTAATTGGAACTGGCATTGTATTCATATTTTAGTTACTATTACATTATAAATTTTCCAATGACTTATAACAGTTGAGGAGAATGAATTCAAAACATCCCTACCAATTCATGTACAGTATAGCAGTTTCTCTTGAATGACAGTTTACTGTTGAATAAACCCCCTTTGGCTAATAATATTTGAAGAATAAAGAATCAACATACCGTCTGTTCTCCTATAATGCGAATTGGTTATAATGCAATGAATGTATTAGAGAACACGTTTCTTATAGTGTGGATGGGAATTGGGTATAACGCAATTGAGTAAACATAACTTCCGTATATACAGTACAGGGTACTCAAGTTTTATATCACTTAGCAACGTAACAAACATTTTTCTCCCTTGTTTATTCTATTAATGTATGGTATCAAACTAAAACAATTTTTATAAAAGAACAAAAAATAAATAAATAAAAATAATATAAATTGTAAAGACAAATTTCAGTCATGTCGGTGTTTTTTAAACTGTACAACCAGCTAACCCCTTAATTCCATTTGAAAGGTTACTATAACATGATGTTCTTCAAGCAGGCAGCTACCACATTATTGGAGAACAGACTGTACTTTCAAAACAGCAGCAGCATCATAAAGAATATTTTGCAATTTGAAATTTAAAATAAAGTTAATATTGATGTATTCATGTACACAGTAATTAGGCTAATGGATCTTTAAAATACTGTACAAGCATAATATATACAGTATATACACAGTCTCTCCTTGACTTACGACGGGGTTCTGTCCCGACGATCAGGTCGTAAGGCGAAAATAATACATAGAAATTCTAAAATGGGTGTCTCTTTTTCTTCTCAGCACCACGAGAACTCTCACTTTTATGCTTGCCAGCCATTTTAAAGGGAATTAAAAAAAAAAATTGTCAGTACACAGCGCAATCACTAACGTTGGGACTCGAAAATACGTAATGTGAAAAATATTATATACAACCATGGCGCTATATATATATATATATATATATATATATATATATATATATACTCGACCGCCTGAGTCGTACCAAAATTTTGTCAAATTACGTATTTTCGAGTCCCAACGTTAGTGATTGCGCTGTGTACTGACAAAATTTTCGTTTGTAATTCCCTTTAAAATGGCTGGCAAGCTTAAAGTGAGAGTTTTGTGGTGCCGAGAAGCAAAAGAGACACCCATTTTAGATTTTCTATGTATTATTTTCGCATTTTCGACTTACGACCTGGATTTGGGTCCCTAACCCCGTCGTAAGTCGAGGAGCAGCTGTATATATATCAAAACCTCCATAATTTGGAAACACTGTGTATGTCATAGCAAATGAAGTCAACTCAAAATTTATTGTATAGGTGAAATTTACAAATTCAATTGCATTTTATCAATTGTTTCTGTAGAAAATATTATTGTTTAGCAACAATGAAGTAATTCAGCCAATAAGGTAACTAAGATGAGGTTTCAAGTTACAGTATATGCAAGGGTTTTCTTCCAATAAAAGTTTGCATCAGCCAAAGCTGCATAAAACGTATAACATTTACAGGTATATATAAAAATAGGGATGTATTCTACAACTTATAGTGTAATGTGCCATACCCATTTCTACCACTGTTTTATGACATTTAAACAATAAATACCTAATATTATCTCCTGCATGTCTGTATTATAAAAATATATCTATATTGTATGAATTATTATCATTAGTACCCTATGTCTTGTCTTATACAGGTAATGTAGAGCTGCACTGGGACTTATGTCAGGCACACATTCATACTTCCTGCAGCATATTTTATTTAACAAAATATAAATATGCTTTATCAATTTTATTTTGAATACAAACACACCTGATATTAAGATCACTACTCTGTAGGAGTGAGTTGCATGTGTGGGTGACAGCCATGAGACAACTTGTGCCAACTCACGTGTAGGTGGGTTTACATCTTTGATGGTCATATTATTGTCACAAATAATTTCACACATACAGTATAGACAGATTTGAGTTCCTCAGACCCAAATTTGACAAGAAATAAATGTGCTGAGAGATGGGAAGTGGCACAGAACACTATTTCACACGTTCAACTGCATAAAACCCAATTTATCTTGAATATAATGAATTTCTAGTAGAAATATGGTCCTCACATATAACTGAATTTGCATATGCAAAACTCACATATAATGAGGATGCCAGTACAGTACTGATGCTAACCGAAAGATTCTGTCTCCACTTGCCCCTGGGAGAGTGGATGCTACACACAATGCAATCTTGTTTTGAAACTTATTTATTATGATTCAGAAAAAGTTTAAATAAGTTTTAAGTTTTGGATATTTAAAAATAGCCAAATTATGAATTATGGAGGTTTTAGTATGCTTTAGTGCATCCAATATATCAGAAATACACCAAAATTTACAGATGGGGAGTATTTATCTAAAAAAAGTATCTGTCAACACACTGTGTGAAACCATGGGTGATAGATATTGGGATATGCATTTACTTTCGTATATAGTTTAACAAAAGTAATGCAATGTGTAGTTATTTTGGCATCATTAATATAATGTTTGGTTACCAAATGTAGTAGGATCAGTATGCCACAGAGCCATGCATACCAATCCTCTCAGGACATTACTCGTTAGTTGCATGTAGCATTTCGGAAGTTATCAGACTCACCCTGGCAGATACTTTTTGAGATACTGTATCTACACTGAAATTTTTAACAAAATAAAAATTTCTGCAAAAATTCTAAGTAATAATAACAATGATTTTAAAATTAATAAAATGATTTAAGTCATATGACAAGTAATTACCCAAATTCCAACTTTTCAACCACAAATCCTTAATCAACATATTGAGTGGTATCGTACCTATATTGTATTAACACTCTTGGGTTTCAGGAGATACTCTCCCGCGAGAAGCTCGGGGTCTGGCCTGTTACTCACCTCGCCGCACTTGACTGCACCACAAGAGAGATAATTGCACGTAATGAGTCAAAGCAAGCTTGCTATTTGAGATAAAAAGGTGGGATTTGTTGCATTAGCATTGTACAGTAAATTAATTATCTACAGTTTTATATGAGTAATCACGATAAAATAATTATTTCTATACATAAGCGCGAGTACAACATAAAATTTTTGTTTATGCTTAATGAAAATGTTTATACATCACTTTATTCCTTCGTTATTTCACATAATTGCAATATGAACCTTATTCCATTATAAAGCGTACATATTTAGGAAAAAGTAGTTATAGAAGAAAGTTGTGAAAATATTAATATTTTGCTAGGGAGAGGCATCAAGAGGCACCATACTATATCACCACGTGTGTACAATCTCCTTGCATTTTTTAAGTTTTCCCACCTCTCCACCCTCGCCAGCAACACGTGGCATGGTTCAAAACTCTCACAACACTGTTATGAATAAATCAAATCAGCGTGATGCACGAGAAATCAGCATAAGCCGCAAGAAAATGCATGGGAAATGTTATATCCTGTGTCCTTTAAGCACAAAAGGAGACTGGTGTGGTGACCTTGGCGTGCAGTCTACATATTTGCCAGATCGCACTGACGCTGTCGAATATGCGTCTTGCATGTCTAGCGTTCATATACAAACATAAAATTTATTTAAAATTTTGACTTCACATGCAAATTTGCGTATGAAAATCCCAAAGCGTTAATTTAGATCATAAGCAATTTTGCACATGAAAACCCCAAGAGTGTTAAAGATTTTTTGAATACTTTATTTTTTTTTTTTTTTTCACACCTAATTGAAAATTGACATGTTTAACCACAGTAAAACCTCTATAATTTAGAATAATAGGGGCTCTATCCTTGCTGAAATACAGCAAATTTTGAATTACCGGTATGATCAATTGTGTACAACACCATCAACTATGTCAATACAGTACACACACATATACATAGTCTTCAACAATGGAGCTGTTATTCACTTTATATATTATGAAGCATCAAGAATACCAAATGTATATCTAGATTATGAAAATATTTTATACACTAATATCACACAGCTCGTATTATAATGGATTCAAAAAGGACAATCATAACGCGAGGGCAGATACTGTACTAGACCACCATCAGTCACCATAGTCGTGAGGAGTCCCAAATTTATCATTCGATATGTTATTCAAACTTTATTAAAAATAAGCCATATTGATTATGAATCTTTATAAAAATTAGAGCTGGCTGAATTAAGGAACACAGAATCTTACAGTAAGTAAATATGTACATGTTAAAAGCAAGAAATTATATACTAAAATATATACTGTACTGGACACAACTGTTTCTTATTAATTCTTTATTATGGAACTTATTAACTTCCTTTATACTTGAAATATATGAATGATGTTGAAAAGTGGATAAAACATTTGGAGGCCACTAAAATTATGCAGTGGAGATTCTTTTTCATATCTCATTTTATGGGAAATCTTATTGTACTATATATTGCAAAACCAAACCATTTTAAAGCTTTTACATCTATGTCATGTAGGGCCACTTAGTTGAGTAAGTCAGATATCAAGCGAGGAATTTATCACCAGGCTAAGCATCATGCTAAGTAAAGCCCTCTTGACCACTCACTGTACAGGAGAGAAAGTACAGCTCCTCCCCGACTTACGACGGGGTTAGGGACCCAAATCCAGGTCGTAAGTCGAAAATGCTTAAATAACACATAGAAAATCTAAAATGGGTGTCTCTTTTTCTTCTCAGCACCACAAAACTCTCACTTATAAGCTTGCCAGCCATTTTAAAGCGAATTACAAACGAAAATTTTCTCTGTGTACTGACGTTAGGACTCAAAAATAAGTAATTTGACAAAATTTTGGTACAACCGAGGCAGGTCGTAAGTCAAGTAGGTCGTAAGTCGGGGAGGAGCTGTATACAGAATATGGCGAGGAAACATGCCCATACACCGTTAAACATAACTTAGTTTTTGTGTGTAATTAAAATTATTACAGTAATACCATTTGTCCTCAAAAGAACAACTTTTTAGTTAAATTCCTACAAATGTGAACAGGAATTAGCCCCAATGGTTTTAACCCTTTCATGAATGAGTACATTTATAAAGGCCGTATTCACCAGGTTACAAAAAGACACAAATCACCTTTTTAAAATACTTAAATATTATAAACAGTACAGTACTTAGAAAAACAAAACAAAAAAAACTCAGAAGTTTGTACTGTATGGGTAAGGGGAATTCGCTACGTTGTATTATGGCAGAGTCGAACGGGATGTTGACAATATTTTAGACCCCAATGAGCCTTCCTTATTTTATACAGCTATCACTCAAATCAATGTAATTATATTTGTTTTACCTTTGGCTATTAACAGCACAATTTTCAAGGAAATGAACAAGTGCCTTGTCAAGCTGAGCTGTGGCTTGTGGGTGAGGAGATAATTTTACTGGAACATAATTATGTATCTTGAGGACTAAGGTCTCTATTGTGCACAGAGCACTCAAACCCACAAATTATGGTGGAAACTGGGATCATAAATCCTATTTATTCTCTTTATATTCTTGACATAAAAGGAAGAGATATATACATACTAACTCATGAAAGGGTTAAATTGTATCTTAACATTTCCAACCTATGAATAAATACAATTCCTGATTTTAATAGCTATATAAGAAGTGAAATGATCTGAAGCTTGAGAAGCAAACACTGGGATAAAAAGTGGACACGCAAAGAATACTGTTCACATGTACTGTACCGACACTGCAGATCATCTGGAATACATTTCTTAACTTCTTTGCACTCACTGTTTACTTTCCTAAATTAAGTCATCTCACTTCTTAAAACATGTTAACTTGGTGTATTGCAATAAATTCTAAAAAAAGGTATACCTGTACTTTATATACTGTATTCTTCCTCAAATGTACTAGATCATGAACTTACATAAGGTCCCTCACTATACATATTATCCCTTCAATAAAGAAAAAGAGTGGGAAGGAGGCTGCTGAACATGTAAGGCACGTACGACCATAGTGGATAAAGCGCCAGAGAGAGAAAAAAAAATGGAGACCTCTGGCACTTTCTTCTCTCTGATCTACTGCCTGACCATATTGACACCTCCAAAGGTGGTTTCCAGATCTAGGCAAGTGTACCAAGACACAGCACCTTCTAGAGGTACTCACAGCTGGATCTTTAGTCGCTAACTGTGCACTAAGATTTCTCCACACAGATAGTTAATAAAATATTTAACTCTTTGTATAACTCACTCACCAATACCCAGACAGTGTAAGGAGGATTCTACTAGAAATTCCAGCTCATGTGAAATAAGTTTGGTGTAATAATGTAATTTTTCGAATTTAATTTATTAAGAAAGCTAAGCATGAGACAGAATAATGACATAATAATCATCTTATACATAGTGTACTACTGTAGAATGTCTTAAAGTGGTCACCAAAATTAATTTGCAGGAATTTCTAATACTGTAACTAAATAAGAATGTATACTAATAATTTTTTTGAATGTGTTGTAGTCTGAAAATGGAACCATGGGTCAAGACCTGGCATGAAACACCCTAATGGCCCTCCCAAATTGAAACAAAAAAGTTTTGCACTACAAACTGTTTTGCTTCTTTGTTATTTGTGCAGTCATGATAAATGCTTGGTAGGAAAGCAAAGCTAAAGGAAGGAAGAAGGACTTTACAGTACAAGTGAGAAAGCAAGACCACATCCTGTTATTTTATTACAGTATTTCATTTAATCAAAACCCAAACCAAAATCACAGTTTTACTATAGCTAACATTAAGTTAGAAGCTAAGTTCCTCCTGAAGGACCCAATTACTACAACTAAGGAAAAAAACATCTGAAGAAGAGAAAATAAAGATACCACACAGGATGAAGCAGTTCTGCTCTAAGGAATGGTACAGATAAAATTACAAAGTAATTTTGAATTAAGTTAGATACATGCATCTTATTTAATCAAGAGAATGAGGTAATCTTTTAATTCAAAACAACATACTAGTACTAAGGATAGAAGACAATAGAAACCAACTAATTATGTGAACAATCAATAGCACTTTTATTTTAGCATTAGAAAAAATGCTCAAGAACAACTATAATTCTACTTTATGAGAAATCCATCTGAGTACCTGAACAAAGGTAAATCAACATCAATTTCTCCATTTTAACTAGAGCTGTATTAGTTACAAATCCAACAAAACAGTGTCAACAGGAGCGCTGACCCATATAAGTAAAAATTCAACTCAAATCAATTAACCTTCCAAAAATGTTAAGACAGTGTGGACTACTATTTGCCAATTGGTTTTAGTTAGATTTCTATTTGTCCTCATCGTTTTACATTCATACACAATTCTTTTGTAAGGTGCACAGTCTCTTTGTCACTCCCCAAGCATATTCCTGGATTTCCTATCTCAGTTATTGAAGCACATCATTATAAATGCAGTCTACATCTTCCCCCCTCCTACCTACCCCTATACTACAATAAATCATGCACAACAGCCTATTGATCATGAAATCTAAATGACTATATCATCTCAATATATTTTCATCCAAATGTTCCAAAGCATTCTCACATTCATTACTTTATCAATTCTCTCCGTTCTATAATACTGTACTGAATAGATTATTCACTTCTACTGATCACAGTTTTGATATCTGTGCCACAGAAATGGTTTACATTCATATCCATACTGAAGAGTTGGAACAAGCACACTTCAATTCTCAGTAAAAGAATCATATAAAACAGGACTTAAAGTCAAACTCATATTAACATCTGTACTCTTAACTACTGCTGCATTATATACATATACCCTATATCAAAACATATAAAGATGACTTTGATAATGATCATGAATGGGAGAATAGAATCTATTAGGTCCCCTAATAGGTTATGTTATAATGACATGGGTATCTCTTCTACAGTAGGAACCTCACGCCCCACATCAGCCGTAGAATCAGGCAACATTAAATTTAAAATGTTAAAGGATATGTGAGAAAGAAGCAAACCTAATTGTCACTGCTTAATTTGAATACTAGACTTCATGTATGCAATGAAAAACAAGAAAGGTTGTCTCTAAAAATCCAATAAAAAAATGTTATGGTTAAAGTCAACACTGAAGGGCTAAAGAGGGTATGGTAAGAGATATAATTCAGATTATTCACTGTCAAAAAGGATTCTTGGGCAGCCAAGGTATAATGTGAGGGCACTGATGACCTAAGGTAGAGGCAAGACTGGGGAGTTCAATATGTGTTACAGCTGAGAAAAGTTGATACGGGGCATGTACACTCATTTTAAAATTCTTTAACTTACTAAAGGGATAATCTGTCTAGCCTCAGAGCCAATATAGACCTACAAGGCATATACTGTACCATAATGACCAGGAGTGAGGCAGAAAAAATATAAGAATTGAAAACAGTCTGAAAGTATATCTTTTCAAATGAGCAAATATAGCACACAATTTTCATTCTACTTCTGCACTGTGGTTTGTCAGAATTAACACTTCTTATTCATACAATCCTAAAACAACCAAAACCACACTAAAAGTGGAGTCCTGCACAATATGTGATAATTGGTATACTGTACTTTATTTAGCATTGCATGAACAAAAATTCTCAAATCCTAAAACTAAAATATAAACAAGCAACACTAACTATACATATTGCTTTGTAATTCCCATAATTTCCTTTTTACATGCATTCACAAAAATAAAGATAAAAATGTTATCACTTAAATATTATTATCTATTTCTCCTCCTTAACAATAATAAATATGTACATGTTTACATACACCATGAGCACTGGATGACAAACTTTTCATATTAAATGAAAAACTTCATTCCCACAATAAGTGAAGGAAACTATACACAAGAATATAATAATTTATCTAAACTATGGCCTCACTATTGTAGCTTGGGTTAAATTTAAACAACCTAAAAGAATCCTTGTATATACTATGGGTATCACAAGCACTATACAATACAGTTTATCAAAACCATACTTATCTATTCTGTAGTACTCATCTATACCCAAAATCCCATACTTAGTGAAACTGCTGCAACGCTATTTTCACTCTGTGGAAAAACATATTTAAGATCTATTTGTAGTCAAAATTATATATCACATAGTGTGTACCTGACAAATTTTTGGAAAATGTCCAAGAAAGTCTTTTTAATTTAGCCATTAAAAAATCTAGTTTTATACACATATAACATGACTGTAGCTAATAATGGTTTAAAGGCAAATAATGAGAACCAAAAATGGTGCATCTTGCAGCCAAGGTATCTTCACAGAAACTTGCTAATTTTATAAAAAAATTCTCTATACATTGTACTGTACTTTTTGCTGTACAGTATATGATATACTGCGCACTCACTTAATACATTATTGTTCCTGAAAACCCACCCTCCCTCACTTCTAGTAAGTACTTTCCTTGTACTTTTACTTCCATCTCCTTTGTCTTCCCCTCTCCCTCCTTCCATCATCCTCTCTTTTGTCCCAATCTTTCACTTCCCATTGTATTTCATATATCCAACCCACCTTCCCTTTCCATTTGTGGTGCACAGTCTGTGCACCACTCCACGCAGCATGGTCACATCAATCAACTTCCATTTCATTTTTCTATCCACCAATACAGTCTAATAATCCTCTATCCTCTCCAATAACCTTACTCCATGTATTTTTTTTGCATTTCCTTTGTATTCTCCAATACTAACTCTCACTATCCCTTAGCACAATCTCCATCAGTCTTTAGTTTTCCATTCATTCCTGGGTCTCCATATTTCCCTCAAATCCTTGCATTTAAATCCTATGTCACAATCACTGTATAACTCACAGAAACTTTCAATTCACTTTTTAGTCTTCCTTTAAACCACTCTCTTTCCCCTTTGCTCATCTCATTCCCTGGAGGACATTTACACTCTCAGCAAAAACTTCTCGAACGCTATAAGCACTATGCATTCTGAAAAATGAACGAAGAATCTGAAACCATTCCGAGAAGACAAGCCCCCATTCTGCTCATTCTCACATCCATCGTGCCCAGGTGTTCAAGAAGTTTTTGTTGAAAGTGTACATGCTGTAATCCACCCTTCATTTCCAACTTCTGATCAGATCCATAACATTCTGGAACAGATCCCTTTTTTTTCATAACTCAATAGAACACCCATTCCTTCTTTTGCTGTTACTCATGCACTCTTTGACTTTATTCCCCTTGCCTGTCCTCAGCTCACTTCTATACCTTTCGTTTTGGTGAAGCACAAAACCAAAACATCATGGTTCCCTTCACTCATAGTTTGTCACTTTCTTCTTATCACTCATTGTAGTCATACATATTAAAAAAATAACCTGTTTTTAGTTGCTCTCCTTTCTTTTTAGTAACTGAATACAAGAAGGTGGAGATTACCAGTCCCATATCCTCATACTAGATTGGGGTAGCAGAGAGTCAAGCCATGAGCAGGTTTGTAACCAACTGTTTTTCTGTATCTTCTGTAGTTTCTGTTCAGCCAAATAATTACTCAGGCTTTCCTTTATTTTTTCTTGTTTCTTTTAGTTTCAACCCTAAATTATTCCTTATGAACCCATTCTTTTGTGTCATTAAGCATGGTAATACTTCATCTGTGATGTTACCACTCAATTCACAAGGGTCAATGAGATAACAGGTAAAACTTTAAACTAAGAAGACTTACTTGTCAAATAATGCTGTATCAGTTGTTGTCATGAGGTTTTGTAGTAATTTATAAACACCCATCTCGCGTAGCTTGTTTTGTCTTTCTGCTGCACCTTCTTCCACATTCCAGATGAGATTACTTATACAAAAAGTTGCTGCTATTTGTAGTTTTACATTTGGTATAACCTGAAAATAATGAACTGCTTAACATATACATTAAAGCAGAATCTTTTATATTAAGATAATATGAATTGTATAAATTCCCAGGTGTCTCAACCACATACAAAGTGTTCATCAATAATCTCTGAAAATCAAAGTAACTGCTGTAACAAATGTTACAGTAATTTTCTTCTTTTACAGTTGACATCTGAAGCTACTGTGGTGGCTATATTAACAAATAAAAACAGATCATTCAATCTACCTGTTCTGGTATCCCCAAAAGCTATTTTATACTATGATTTTCTATCAATAAAATGCTCTGCTTTCTCCTGGAAGTCCATCCCCTAACTTTTAGTGTATTCTTCACCCTAATCCGCCATCCTTCCCTCTTAATATTTGATGATTCTCTCAATAATAATGACAGTAAACTTCTTCTGGTATACTTAACAGATTCGTTTCTCCATAATTTTGCACTAATTCAAATCACTTTCCCCTTTATACAGGGAAGTTATACATACTCTCTGCTATTCCCAAATAAATCAATAACTACATGAATACAGTATACATATATATAAAAAACAAAGAACAAGTAGTATATAATGAAAAACTAAGTTCATGAGTGTTATTAACATGGAAACATGGTAAACCCATAATGAAAATGTCACATTGGTACACGATCTTTCATTTAAAACTTTTATCTTAATTACAGTAAACCCTTGCCAACTCAGATCCCCTTATCTCAGACTCCCACGATTTTCAGACAGAGGGAATGACTTTGGTGAAACTACAATTACTAGCTTCCTGCACAGCATTAAAGAACATATGACTTTATGAAGAGTATTAGCTTACTGTAGCAAATGTCTGGAAAAAAGGGGAGTAATGTATTGCTACATAAGATGACTCTTAACCTTCTGGGTATGAGGAGTCTCTTTGTGCTGATTAAAATCATCTGGTGTTAGCCAAATAAAATATTATAAGTGGCATCCAGTAGTGAAGGGGTTAGTAGAGATAATTTATTGACTCCCTGGGTATGAGGAGTCTCTTTGTGCTGAATACAAACATCTGGCATTAGCCAAATAAAATATAAGTGACGTGAAGTGGTTAAAAACTTACCATATAATTCATTAGCTTCTTGAGGACATCTTCATTTGACATGATGGCAGACTTGGCTATGTCTCCATCAGCAATGTTAGCTAAGATGCAGAGTGCTTGTTCCTTAACTTCTGCTGAGTGTTCACCTTCAAGAATCAGAATGATGGCCTGCCAACAACAGTAAATATCAATATAAACATATACTGTACAGGTATCTCTTCCAAAATGTGAGAAGTTTTGTCCTTTTTGTCAGGATTGGCCGATTTAAACCAATGGTTTAAACCAAAAAATATTCTTTTTAATCTATGCCTTTTTTCTTGGTTTTAATAAGTTTTTGGTGGTTTAAATGATTTATAGTAGATTTGGAAAAGGCATTTGATAGGATGAACAGAAAAGAATTGTGGGAGGCATTACAAGTGTATGGGGTGAGAGGAAGGCTATTAAATGCAGTAAAAGCATTCTATAAGAACAGCAGGGTAACAGTAGTAGTAAATGGGAAAGGTAGTCAAACATTTTAAATAAATGTAGGTGTTAGGCAGGGATGCATTATGTCCCCATGGTTGTTCAATATATACATGGTTGTGAACTACAGTATTATACACTGGTGAAAGTGGTGATAAGAAGCTTTCTTACAGGGCTGCATACAACTCAAATCCTGATTATAAGGGAGCCAAGTTGCCACTGGTGACTGCTTCTGTTTATAGTTGGGCTCTGAGCCTCTGATTCTAATGCATTCAGATCATGTATTATACTGTACTTATATGAATTCTTTAAAACTTTCAACTGTAGAGGTAGAATATTTTCTTCCATGCATTAAGATGAAATTAAACTTATTTTTTTCCTTTAAGCATGTAGGTTGAGTCTGGATGACTGATCAAAGCTTGTGTTTTTTAAATCTGGCCTTTGTACAGTGATTTTTGGAGATGGAAAAAGAGTATAAATTATTGCTCAATCATCCTGAATGTAATGTTTCTGATTAATAGTATTAAAAGGTTATAAAAAGAGCTGCAAATACTTATTAAAACCAACATAATAGCATTGGAAAATTTTTGTTTTTGTTTTTTAACAATGGATTTTGCTTATTTTTTAATTTTTTTTTTTTTTGCCAACCCTGGGTTTTCATGGTCATGTTTTGGTGCTTATGTTTTGTTCTGGATGTACTTAAGTAGTTTCACACATTAAATTTAAATTATCTTCCCTGTAATACATCTGAATATGTTTTTGTACCAAAAACTTGAAACAAAAGTAATCATTCAATTTAAAATTCAAATTTTTTTTGCTAATTCCTTAAGTTCTTGCATTCATACTTATACTGAAAATAAAATTACTGATTTACCTGCATTATTTCTTTTCCATGACACTGCATAATTTGGTCTATGTGCCCTTTGGTGGAGAGAAGATTACGTAGAAGTCCTAATGTTTTCATGAGGATGTGCACATCTGTATCTGACAACAGACGAAATATTTGGTCTGTTCCAAGGTGATGTAAAATGGAAACCTGGAAGAATAAGATTTCATTGTTATTAGCGTACTATTTAATGCCGATTTAAAAAGATAACTCTGACTTCTTCATATAGGCAGGTCAGGCTATCAGAAGTTTATGGCAGGCTCAAGCTGGACACATATTTGAAGAAAATTATTGAAAAAAAAGGAAAAAATCAGGTAGATTACACCTGCATGTCTTACTAAGGTGTATGGAGCACTAAAACCCCTTCAATCCAGACCAAATCAGTCCTAGGGTAGTCTGAATAAATGAAAAATGGAGCAACATTCCTTAAAATAAATCTATTAAAAAAAAAACATACTCGTACACTGTACTGTAATAATTAAAAGTAGCTTATAACTACTGTATAACTTAAGTCCAATGTGACAGTCACTCTCAAGGTAGGTTAAGTTGGTAAATATACTTACACTTGGGACCTGTCATGGATAGGCTGAGAATATGTCATGGTAAGGTTAAGACTCCAATTAGGCTGAGGATATGTTTTAGTTAGGCCAAGACACTATTATATGTAGTTAGGCTGAGAACCTGTTGTAGCTTGGCCAAGGATCTGTTATAGTAAAGCCAAACACCAGTCAAAGTTTGGCTGAAAAACTAATCAAAATCAGGTAAAGAACTTCCTGGTGTTAGGACGTGAACCTGTCATAGTTATAACTTTGTATAGACTAACTTAAAAACAATAAGCAAAACACATGAGGTTACATCCTCGCCTGGAGTGACTGCCATTTTGTACAGTATCAGGAATTGCAAGTACGTACGGTATGTTTACCATTAGGTGTTTTCACGAGTTCAGCTACATGGGTTGCATGTGTGCATTCCAGAATTTTGTCACAAAACAGACTTAGGTCCAGGTTCTAGGAGTGACCCAGAATCATCCTTGGGGTCCCATTAGAAGCCAAATCTAGATTTGAAGGTTTTAGTGTATGTGTCAAAACATATAACCCACATTACAGGGAAAACAAATAACAATACAAAGTGCAAATGACTATTTTCAATAATAAAACAAAAACTAATGGAAGGTTTACAGAATATGAGCACTAATGAAGTAGGTAAAATACACCTGTACTGTCCCTGAAATTATGTAAAATGATAATAAGTTACTAAACTATACTTTAACAACCAGTACAAAAGACGAATAAATACTGGTCCACCATAAGCTGCTCTGCTGAGCTGGCAAACAAAAATGTAAGAGCATCAGCAAACAATAAAAAATACTGTATGCCCAACCTGCAGATCTTGAAAGGTGTTACGCACGCACGCACGCACACACGCACGCACACACACACACACGCACACACGCACACACACACACACACACACAAGGTCAACTGTTAAGTTGGCCCATACCAACTCCCTCCCCTGAACCCTCCTCCCCACCGGAATATCAACAAGTTCTCGCCAGAAGTTACAATTTCATTTAGGAAAGGAATGGAACCAGTGTTAAACAGAGGTGAACAGTGCTTAAGTCAGTGAGAACAACTCAACAGTAACAGTCGTACCCAAGTTAACCTTCACACAGTGAGGTCCCAGGTACCCAGTGATAACGGCCCGTGAGACCCAACAACAACCAGCGATGTGTTAATCCGTCTACGATAGGAAGGACTGGGACCACACCTCACTCACATAACACCATCTGAGGGAATTACTATACCACGTCAGGTCCCTCATAACACCATCTGTGAGGGAGTTACTACACCACGTGAGGCCCCTCATAACACCATCTGTGAGGGAATTACTACACCACGTGAGGCCCCTCATAACACCATCTGTGAGGGAATTACTACACCATGTGGTCCCTCATAACACCGTCTGTGAGGGAATTACTACACCACGTCAGGTCCCTCATAACACCATCTGTGAGGGAACTACTACACCACGTGAGGTCCCTCCTAACACCATCTGGGATGGAGTTTACACTACATGTTTGCTGTTCAACACCTACATTAATCTGTATGCTCACTGTATGTTCCTTTACCTTTCTCTAATGAAGACTTTTGTTAAACCACCAATGTATGTAATAAGTCATTTATGTCCAATGTATTTTTTCAGCCTTCGGGCTGCAGAACTTTTTTTAATAAACCGTTAATTATTATTATTATTATTTATTACACACACACACACACACACACACACACACACTACTATAGGTGAAAGAAATAATTGTCCTAAGGGCAAACACACAAAAGGAATATACATTTCTTTGTACACAAGTAAAAATGTTCCTCGCCTCTTCGTTAGTAAGGGCTAGAGCCCAATTATTTCGAATTATGAGGGCTATAGTGTATATACACCAAGGAAATTTAGGAGAGGCTGAAGAGAGTAGATCATATCTGCACTCCAATACATTGATCCATTAATTCTTTTTAAAAAGAAAAAAAAATGTTTGTTGCACTTCAACAATTCCATAAGCATAAACCATCTTCGAGCACATAAATCTTGAGTATCTGTGGGAAAACTGCTGACACTGGCCAAAAATTCTAAATTTTTTATACCTGACTTGAAAGATGCTTTACAGTTGTGTGAAAAAAGTTATGGCCTATTATACAAATATGTAACAAATTGATAACTCATGCACTCACCTTTACTCTGTGCTCAGCCTGGAAGGCCATATTCATCAAAGCCCATACAGCATTTAGTCTGAGTCCTGGGTGTGGTCGTCTTGTTAGTCCACAAAGAAACTCCACAGCTCCCTGGTCCAGAATGTGCTCCTTAGAAGGTGAAAACTCAAGAAGAAGATTGCACAGTGTGGAGGAGGCCACAGTAACTAATTCTTCATTGTTGGAAGTTTTCAGCACTGTCATAAGAGGTCTCCACACCATGTGATCCTACAGGTAACAAAAAACTTAGTATGTATGGTATAATTTTACCATATTATCAGGCATGCTCATGAACAATAATTCCTTCTTTCTTTCCAGTCATATTCCATTAAACTGTATACATAGTGGCTGGAACCAAAAAACATCATATTCCTCTTTACATTTTTTTATTCATTCACATTTATAACTGTGTCTTCACCGTAAATCACCAGGCTATATTTTCCACCCTTTGCTGCTTCTCCCCTTCACAACAGGCTCACAACACTGATCACAGACAATATCAGAAGAGACTGAAATGTTCTGCCTTTTGGTTAGGTCACTCAAGTCATTAACTAACTACAGTCAACTCTCTCTAAACTAGACTCACTTAGTCTGGAACCCCTTGCAAACCGGAATGGGGTCCAGCACCAGATACCAAAAGCCGGTTGGTACATGGGAAAGTACGAGTAAGCAGCGAGCACTAAGAGATGGCGGCAGGTGTATCACCAGGAGGGTAACTCAGCAACTACCTCTGAGGAGGTGGAAGTGGTTGCTGAGAAGTACTAAATAGAAAGTGTCTTAGAAATGCAAACAGTGTACAGTACAGTACATACTGTAGTCAACGAAATTAGCAGTGAAAACATAACCTCCGCTCCACCTTCAGTAGCTTACATTGTGAATGTTGTACAATCACCTCCTGCCTCAACTGTCTCCTCACCACAAGACTCAACTGCCTCATGGCAAGTGAATAATTAATAAGTAAAGTACTTTAGTATTCAATATGTACTACGTACAGTACTTCTATTTTCTATCAATAGGTGTATTCTAGTGCAATAATAATGTATACTATATGAAACACTCTTCTACTTTGTAGAATTCTCTTATTGTTCTCCCATTATTTTAGTTGTTGTGACTGCAACCATGAGCAAAATAATGTATAAACTTGTATGCACAACATCCGTTCTAATGTAGTAGAAATTTAGTACCATAATGATCATGAATAAATTTTGACATGATATAAAAATGGGAACTCGATATTTTTGAGAGAAAATGTAATAAATTGTTATGCCAGTGGCTATAAAATCAGTTCTAATTGAGTTAGAAATAAAAAATTTTACCAAAGTGATCCTGAATAGTTTATCTAATACTTTGTTTCAATCAGTACAATACTGTACTAGTACAGTGTATACCCATATATAAAAAATATAAATAAATATATATAAGGTCCATCAAATGGAAATATTTTGGGGACATGAGGCTGGAATGCAGCTGTGTGTTACAGCAGAAACAGAACACACTGTTGCCAAGAGTGTACGAGAGACTGAGGGAAAATTACCTTTTTTCTTCAGTTGTTAAAACCCCAAGTGGCTAAAAAAAATTTACATGGCACTTAAAAACCCCGAGTGCTATGTTTAGGCTAAAAATTGCATTAGGTTTAGTATTCTTAGGTAGCTTGACTCAGAAATCTCCCCTCCTCATAATTTTTCACCCTGCAATACAGACAACACGGAACCCCGCCCTACCTAAAATTTCAACCAGAGCAGACAGGCCTTCCCTCCAATTAGTCCAGATTAGAGGGAGTTTACTGCATAAATTTTATAACCATTGAATCAAACTTTACAGGTTAAAAAAACAACACTGTTTATTGAAAAAATTTTCCTCAATATATTACCTGAAAAGTTGTTCTGATAGTGTGCACAGATCTTGAGAGGGAGTGTAGACACCTCACTGCTGCCAGCTGGACTGGTGGGCATGCTGCAGAGAGAGATGTGACTATGGTGTTCATGAGACCATCAGTTTTTATGACTCTTTGTCGAATATCTTCATCGTTTGCGCTTAGAGATGCATATACCTTAAGAGCAGCTTCTAACATCAACTCAGGCCAGGTGCTCGGATTATCATATTGTCGACAAGACTGGAAAAAAAATTGCACTGTAATTAAAAAACTGAGGATATACTGTATCTTGATAATAAGGCACTCAAGACTCTGATTTGCAATTTAAAGAATGTCAGTTATACAAACTAAGTTACTGTACCAACATCGTGATTACAGTAAACCCTTCAAAGTCTGGTTAATTTGGGGGAAAAGGGTCATGCTGATTGTCCGGATTTTTACCAAGTGGGGGTTCTGGGGGCTACTGTGCACTAAGCAGCCACTCATTACCCCTCCGATGACCCTTAAATTTGTATCTTAATGTGCAATAAATATCATGCGTATTTCCTTTTACATTTTTCCTATATATTTACTGTACAGTAGTAATACAGTTCATTAAAAACAATAATTTTTATACAATACATTAACTTATTTATTAAAATAGATACAATACTGTATTGTCTTTAATCGAGATAGTGTACAGTGGTCTTATCAGATACCATAGGCCTAACGAGAGCTAACAGTTACTAGAGATGACACTTCATGTGTAAACGTGCTGGAGGTGGGGGGGACTGGCCATTGCCGCGTTTGTTTTTATTTAATCATTTATTATATTCTCGTTTGATCAGCCTCTTGTGGTGTATGTTTCATCATAAATAGTATAACATACAGTATTAAATAATAAAAAAATAACAATACATATATGACTTGTAATTCTATTTCAAACTTAACATAATAATTATTATACTGTATTCTCATATAGTGTATATTTTATCATGAATATTATCAAATATTAAATAATAAAAAATTTGAATATGTAATTTGACTTCAAAATAATGGAGACTGAGATGGAGGGAACAAGTGTGTGTGGCCTTGCAAATGGAACGGCATGTGGTGAAGTCCTGGCCCATGACCCGGTGTGTGCGCTATACAGTAGTTACAACTTTACACTGATGGAACAGCTACTGTCTACTACTAATAGCTCAAGTTCTGTATGTGAAGCTATTAATAAGATTTTGTCCATTTTTACATAGTCATGTTAGATACTGAAGCGTACACATTTCATGACCGTAATTGTATATACGTACTGTATTTTGTGTTTCTGGTTTTATAAAACTTTTTTTTTATAATCATATCCTAGAATACACATTGTCTTTGATTTTACTTTTTGTTTACCGTAAATGTTCAGGTTTTGTTTATATTTGTTTATGGATCATAAAGCTTATACAATTTTAATTTAATGTCTTAATTATGTTTGTATCAATGTAATTTGCAGATTCTTTGGTCAACAAGCTATCTAGCTATCTGTCTTAACTGTGTGGATGTGATATATGGATGGTGCAATAAGCACTTGTCTTCTGTTCTCTTCCAGGGAGGATTACCAACAACATTGTTTGAAATGTTTTACCTAAAATCTTAAAATTTTTCTGTGGCTGAAAGTGTGTTGAACTTAAAGCTAACTAATCACAGTGCAGCATTATGGGCGAGTCCATTCGAAGATTGGGGGAATAAACTGATCACTTACAGGTCCAAGAGGAGGAGAGGCCTCAAGGCTTCACTTGCTGGCAGCAATTTCAAACGACAAATATTTAAGGGGACAAATGTTTCTTGCCCAAAATGGGTCCGAATCATCCAAAATCTGGACTTTCAAGGGTTTACTGTGTAACATCTTTGTACATACAGGATATTTTAAAATTTTCTAAAGTTCATTCCTTATCCCGTTATTACAGTACATCAAACTTTTGGTCTTCTCTTGTTTCTTTTCTTCTTTATGAAATCCCCTAACTCACAACTAATGCTATACAGTACTATATAAATACAGTACTGTACTTATATACAGCTTGCCCTGACAATTCGCAGATTTTTAATTCGCAGACCTTGATTATTTGCGGATGACACCCAAGAATGTCTAAGGGTAGTTTTAAAGTTGCTGTCATTTTTGCGGTTAGCACAGGGAGCCATTCGTTCTAGAGACAGTAATTTCTTTTACCTGTATTATATGTGTGTGTGTGTGTGTGTGTGTGTATACACACACACACACACACACACACATAACACATACAAATAAATAATAATGGGAAAATCCTCTCACAAATAATCAGAAACAAGACAACAAAAGGTATTAAAAATGTAAGAGTCTACCCTCAAGTCAACTCAGTGCTTTGTTATTAAAGTTAACAAAGCACGGAGTTGACTTGAGGGTAGACTCTCGCATCTTTAATACATTTTGTTGTCTTGTTTCTGATTATTTGTGAGAGGATATTCCCATAACTGTAAACCCTTGATAACTTGGAAATTCATAAACTCGGTATAGATATGGTCTCGGAATGTATTAGGATAACTCGGGAAATGCAAAGATACTATATGTAAAATTATCTGGGAAAATCTCGGCATATCTGGCCACCTGCATCACCTACCATACCTCTGTATCACCTATCATGCATCTGTTTCACCTACTATGATGCTTCATTCTTTGCCTGCAGTGCTGGTAAGTGTTACTTGTTTTACATTTAGTAATTATATGGACACATATATGGGTCGATAATTTTTTAGTTTTGTATTTTTGTAGGGGGGGGGGGCGGGGAAAGTGCCTCGATAAGTTGGAATTTGGGATAACTATGCAAGGCCAGAGTCCCATATGTGCCGAGTTATTGAGGGTTTACTGTATTATTTTTTTTATGTGTTTTGTGTGTGTCTGTGTTTGTGTCTACACACACAGACACACACAAATATACTGTATACAATACAGGTAAAAGAAATAATTGTCTTAAGGGCAAACACATAAAGGGAATATACATTTCTTTGCACATGAATAAAAATGTACCCCCACCCCCTGGTCAGCAAATGTTATTTGCGGATTAGGCTATTCAGGGCATGTTATATTTCAATTAGTAGGGAGGTTTACAATGTACTGTACATATGGCTCAAGAATCACAAATTAGTCCAAAGAAAAACATTAACAGGTATGACATACCAGGTAGCACCAACCTAAAAGACTTGGTACAGTACAGTGAACTTTACATGAAATACACTGTACAAGAAAATAAAGATTTTGGAAACTAATGTACTGTACAAGCCTCCATTTTAATAGAACATTTGTGATATCACCTGCATACACACCACCACAATTAGTGCCACTGATCAGTATTTGTCATTGATCAATAATCATCTATTCTGTAAAATTGGCTCAAATAATACAGTAATAACTTACAATAGGTGAGCCACAGATTCCCTGGGGCACACTGGCACCAGTTGATGAAGTAGTATCTTTTAGGTAATCATTCATTGTGTCTATCAGATGATCTGTCATGGCTGCTGTTCTCTGCAGTTCTGTGCTCACTTCTGTTAGATACGCCAACGTGTTGGCTGCCTCCACCCGTTCCCAAACTTCTCGGTCACGTCGACACATTCGTACCTGTCAGTGTTACCATTGATAATTAATTTATAAACTAGTCAATTTGTCCATCATAAAGCACATGAGTAAATAAAGGATAATGCAGTAACAGAACATGAAAACTCCAGATATCCCCCCCCCCAAAATACACATTAACAGATTTGTTTTTCTCACCAAGTTGGCTTATTATCAGTGAGTTTTAGTCCAAATTTATTGTTCCACTTTCAATTACAGTACATTTCTTCTTCACTGTGTGCAGATCTTGCCTTGTTTTTGTCTTACTCCAATAACATATTCTTATACTGTACTTCCATAACTTAACATGCATCTTTTCATCATCTTATCAAGTTGCACTATGACATGATTAGCACTTTAGTCCATTCCCAGCATCTGAAACTATTGTTACCACTCCTACAAACTTTCTCCCCTCACCAACAACCTCTCATTCTAACTAAACATACCTTATTCATCATAAATGTCTACCTCCTATATTTAATCATCTTTTGAAACTGCCTTTGTTACTCTAGAAAACTATGTTTATTTTCTTTTACTTAGGAGTAACATAATTCCAAAGATTTTATTAATGGCCTTAAAATATTCATTCTTTATTTTTTACTCCATACAATTCACTTGAGCACTTTTCTAACGTGAAGCATTAATATGATAAAAAAATCATAAAACACTAAATAGATTAGAAATTACCTTAAAACTACCACCTAATACTCACCAAACACTGTAATGTCTTAAATATGATCTTCGGGTCATCTGCTGAAAGTGCTCCAGAACGATGTAAAAATGTAAGTGAGGTGGCTGCAGCAAGCTGCATGTCCTGAGGTCGATCCCTAGCCATCAGTCCCACTAGCAGGTCTGGCACAGCCTTCCCCCCATAACTTTTGGTGGCTATAATGGATGATACTCTTTCATTGCTGTTACAGAAGAATAAAGAGGACAATTTCTCAATAGCTGTATTCATGATTTCATCATTGTTTCTTACACCTACAGTATTTATTTAATATAATTTAAAGACAATATAGGTACTTCTTTATTTTTTCTTACCCTGAAATAACATTCAAGAAGTGCTATTTCAAAGCATGTTTGGAACATTATGTTTTCAGGAGAAAGAAAACATCTCCTTTTTGAGGAGTTATTGTGAACCGGTATTGTCCTAAATAAAATAAAAAATTCAGTAAGAGTTAATCTACAGTACTCTCATAACTGTAGTTTAAACTGGATTAGAGAAATTTAACTACATGTATCAGGTTGAATTTTCTCACATTCAAAAATACTCATCTACTTAGTAGTGATGACCTAAATATTTAGCTATGACTAACAGACAGGAACAAAGAATTATGGTACATACTTGTAACACATGGCAGCCAAACAGTGTAAAGCAGGAAGCTGCACTCTGGAGACTGGGGAACACAACATGCAGGCAACTAAATCAGCTCCTCCTGCATCAACCAACTGTTGTTGCTGCTCACATGTCTGCAAGTACAGAGGGTAAGGAAAAGTTAAGACTCTTGAACCAAACACATTTATATATAAATTTTAAATAATCTTGGCTCCAATGGAACCGTCCAACTTTCTTGACATCCAGCTAACAGAAACCAAAATATTCATCATAGAGATTTTCATCTACTTTGGAATACAGTATATTAAATTTCAACTTGTCCCAAAATTAAAAACACAGTACAGGTACTATATCACCTGTGCTTAAATTAAGTTAGCAAGATCAATATTTTAAACATTCTCATGTGATTAACTCTCTGGTACTCCTGGTAATGGTAAAAAAATCTCACCCCCTCACAGGCTTTCAATGCAGGTTGCATCAGTACCAAGAATAGTTTTACATTTTAATAAACATTGGGTAGAGCAATCCAGACCCAAATTGCACACTTGAGAGATGCATCTGCTGAACCACAAGGCTAGTGGGAAGAACTTAGGTGGTTGATAGGGCCAGTCCATTGTTCCCATGTTTCTGCTTATGGGAGAGGTGCTCTTAGTGTGAGATAATGCTGAACAGGAGGGGTTGTGCCAGCACAGGAGTGCTTAGCAATGCAAATTTGCATCGAAAGACCACACTAAAGGTGACTGTGACCAGACAGACAATATTAAGATTCCTGTAGTGGTTGGAAAAATCTGAACTTGCCTCACTGCAGCCAATATTTGGTGACTGATGCAGTGTCAAAAACCACTAACAGATTCTAACAGGTAGATAGCAGTCACTTCTTGACCACTGTCATAGGGCAATCATTATGATAGTTTATGCTAATGGCAGTAGCTCACTATGTGGGTCCCCGTCGAACTGTGAGTCTCTGGTATGAACTTATAATTACCCGGTAGTTCACTTATTACTATTGTGTGACAAAATTACATCATATTCTTATGATTATGGCACATACACAACTTTCAATACCTCAAAATAATAATTCCAATCACAACTTCAATGTATCTGTCAACTTGAGATTCCAAAGCAATTTAGTAAACTTTCATCATGAAGAACAGTTCAGTGTAAATAAATATCTATGAATTTTAATCAAATTTTGTATGTATCAGTAAGACAGTTTATATCTGTAACTTAAGGAACATCAAGAAACTTTTTAGATCTCACTGAGTTGATTACTGGTATACAACAGTGCTCAGGACCCGGGTGAGGGCAGATCAGCCAGTGAATAATTCAAGAGCAGCAGAAGCTAGACATCATGCAGATGTAAAACTGTTCACCTGCAAGAAGTATGTCAACAGTCAAATCAACCCTAAAAGCCTTCTGTTGTGATGCTGATGACCCAATACAGCATAGTTTATTTACATGTGCATATATGTATGTGCATATACTGAAGTATAAATCTCTATATGTATCCACACATAATTTATATCTTTGCATATATAATTATTAAGTGTGTATTCTTTATAAATATCTAATGCATAAAAAGGAAAAAACCTTGAAGAGCAATTTAATGGTCCCAATATCATGTTAAATGACACCAAGTTTCATAAAAATTTAACAAGCAATTTACATTCTTCAAAGAATGAAAATGAACTTATGTCATAATACTGTAACGAGTTCACACTAATGCAAAATTCGCCTAAAAATGTGTACTGTATTTAACAAAAGTAAAATATCATCACAAGAAATAAATATACAAGTACACCACAATCACTGTAGATCTTAGTTCATTAACCAAAGGAAGCTTATAATATACTGTTCATGCATCATAAAAAAACATAATAGTGCACAAACCCTGGATACCTTGCAGGCATGAGCAAGGATGTTGGCAACACACTCCTGGTTGCAAGGTGGGTGATAACCATGCTGTATAAGTGTGGTAAGAAGCTTATGATCCCAGGATGGCGGAGGAGGTGCGCACCCCTGTCGATACACTGATCTCAAACAGCAAAGGATCATCTGAGTATATGCACTTGTGCCACTTCCTCCTACACATGCTTCAAGTTCTGTTTGAAATATAGTTTACAATTATTGAATAGCAATTAAAATATTTGGATTCAATTATAAATAAGAGACTCAAGTACATCGAGTGTTTGTAAGGAGGAAGCCTGGGATATACTATTAAGTGCAATTACTAAAACTATAAAACTGCCACTTACAAGAAAGCCTATGTACACCAGCTATTGAGTGCTTTACTCCACAAACTGATGGATGCCAAATAATGCAGATATTCTTTTGTTTCAAAGTCATTTTATTTTACAGACAACATCCCTTCAACATACTTTATACAGGTGCTCCTCTACTTACGAATGAGTTACATTCCTAAGGCTTGTTCTCAAGTCTAACTTTTCTCTTGTAGATACCAGACATATTGTAAAAAAAATAAATATAAAGGATGTAAAGTACAACTATACCCGAATAATAATAAATACAGTGCATTACTTTACTGTATATATTACCAGTCTTTAGAAGTATTTTAATGTATAAATAGTCAATTGGTCATATGGACAGGTTTGTTTGTATCTGAAAGTTCATAAGTAAAGGAGCACCTGTATTTAAAATGCCTGGAAGATACAAATCACTATTCTATATCTTTAACCATGATTGTAGACTGGCTTTACCTTTTAAACACTTTACTTTTCACTTTCCAGATAAAAGGTCTTTTTAACCTAAAAAATGAATGACCTCTTGCAGTTATCTTGCATTTCATCACAAGGGGTCAAAATTTAAATCTTTGCTCAAATAGGGTTTTGGTCCATGTCATATCACATCTTGTAATTTAGTGGTACTGTTTGAATTATCACACAGGCCAGGCTTGATTATGTTGCCAAGTAGGCATTTATCTTTCATTCACCCACACATGCAAGCCTCCCAGTCTCCATTCTCAGTACTTTCTCAGCTTTTGTGATGTAGGGATCTCGCCCTTGGACTTCACGTGCCTAACTAAGTGTTTCTACCCCCAACCCCCAAGTGCAAGTTAGTGTCAGCAGATTCATGATCAATTACTGGAGGCAGTAATAATAATTGAACGGTAAATAGAAATACTATAACATAATATAACAAGAGTCCTGTACTTCATAACTGTCTATAAATCAATATTGTTACTTTGTACTGCCAACGTCAGTTCACTGTCTTACACGTGTGCACACACACACCACTTTACGTGCATTCTGGACTCTTCCTAGCCCCTGTGATATCAACTTGAGGTAAATATATGAACAGTATGTCTTTACTGTTTATGTCATGCATGATCAGTTTGTAATATTAGATTTATTTTTTTTAAATTATCCTGAGTATAATCACGTGGTTGGGGAGGGTGGGGTGTATGTCTACCATTGCCCGGTGCCTGGGGTTAAGGATATGGGTTAAAAAGTTTCAAATTCAAATAATCATTGTTAATTAATAACCCTTGAAATAATTACAACACATTTAGAATACTGTACGTACTTCCACTCATATTATACAGGAGAAGCATGGGGCATTCATAACTGGTATTTGTATATGAAAAAATTAGAATACAAATTTTATATAATATTTTTAGTCATATTTCAGTTCCTGAGAATTGTTAAATTAATCATATTCGGATGCCAAGACAAAGTGTTCGTCCTCAATCAATAGTTATTATCACAAAATAATTACAAAAAAGCCAAATTATTACAGTATTTTTAATCTCATGTGTTGTCGAATCTCTATCACTTGCCATGACTCTATATGCCCCCATCACTGTAATCTGTGGGTAAAATATTATCCACAAGGATTATAAAAAAATTGATTCATTTGAGTAGGTGCAATACAAAATGAGCTAGTGATAGAAGTAAAGAGGGACAAATGAGAAAATTTTTTGGGGGATAACCATGATCAAGTAAGTGAAGAACTACTGGCAGTTTAGTACTGTACCAACAATCAAACTACAGTACAGGTAATGATAATAAATCTACACATGATAGTTTATCAAAGCTGAGATACAATAAAAATCTAAATAGAGTACAGGTACTGTAGTTTAATTTGCCTTAGACAGAATTAAGACAGATAACATTCCAATTCTCCTTTAAGGGGATTTTAACTTCTTCATACAGTACAGTACATACAGTACAGGATACAGAATTTATTTTATCTTGGTGAAACTTATATGTCAAATAAGCTTATACATTTCATCAAATGCCCATCTGACTGGTCTCATGCAAGAAAGAAAGTTTATTACCAAATCACTGGGCCATATTATTGTGCTATACAGTACTGAGTTACCAATACTGTACTGCATTATCAATTAGTGACAGCTGAATTGAAGAATTTAAGTACTGTACAGTACTCTATTTCTTACACAAAGTTTTTGAGCAATTTTAACAGGTAAAGAATATTTCTAATTTTACCATTACATTTTTCAAAACACCATTGCCTCCAACCACAGTCCAGCTCATATGAAATACAGTACATTTTATCCCAGATGTGCCGTTGCCTGGTAATTCAACATATAACATTCTGAATACCTGAACTGTTTATTTCAATGGGAAATGAAATAGTCCAAATTGGTATTCTCTTGTGGTGTAAATTGCAAAATCTTCTAAGACAGTACAGAGCAAAAAAATTACCCAATACTGTACAATACTGTCACAAAAAAAAGGGGGCGGGGAATGAGGCTAAAAAGATAAAAACTTATTCTATGGTTTTACAGTAAATAGGAAAATGATTAATAAGCATAATATATAATCTGCAAAAATAACTTACGTTCCCAAAGGACAGGCAACAATCCTGCTTGTACAAGAGATGCTGCATGTTCAGGAAGACCTTTGGCCAATGAGTTCAGGACTGTGGCAACTTCTGTCTTGAGCAGGATATCCAAGTCTGGTGCACGCAAGATTTGTAGTAATCGCACTACTACTCCTTGTTCAATAATGGACCCTTTCTCACGAACACTCCCAATCACAGCAAACTTTAATTCACTAAAACAAAGACAAGCACCAAGTAAATTAAAAGAGAAATTTAATGATAACACTTTTCATTAATAGCTACACTGTATATCATTCTGAAATACAATTAAATTCAGGAATTTAAATGTAGAAATGGTTCATAGTTTCAAGGTAGCAGGGGGTACAGGGGATTGACGTTGTCCAGAAAACAAGAAAAATCATTAATCTGGCAGGCTCTTGGCCCTGGCAGTGCAGGATAATAGAATTGTACTGTATTATATTACACATGAGTTTAATTTTGATTGTGAAATTATACAGTATTGTCTTACCTTACTGCCTGGAAGCATTTCTGTGAGTCATTTGAATATAACTGGTCAATGTACGCTCTACTGTGTTCCACATCCTGTAAAAACAAAGAGACTGTAAATTTTCTGGATGTGTGTGTCTAATTCAATCATATTATAAATATTCAAAATTAATTATGTTTTTAACACAAGAGCTTGTGGAGTTAATTCTGTTACAGCATCAAATGCCCAACTAGGGATGCAACAAGTGACTTAACACACTTGGAAAGTTGACCCCATCCCTTGGCCTGAGCCAGCGCATCACTTCCCAGTGAAGCATCAAAAAAGTTTGAAGGAACAGGCCAAAGTCTATTCCAAACCAGAGGCATAAATCTAATATAAATAAATTGTGACAGTTCAATGTTAGTTTGTTTTGATTCACAAAAGCTCACTGATGTGCGTAAGCAGGGACATGGAGGAAAGAGTTTATAAATACCTGCATGGTGTATACCTGCAATGCCTATATTCATGTTAATCTACAGTATAGACCCATACAGTACAGGTATTGTATTGTCCATATGCAATACCTGTACATTGACTATATACATGCTGAATCTATGTAAACTTATATGCTTATTTTACAAAATAAATACTGTATCCATATCTCTAACTCTTGTAAATACTGTTCCAAGTTTTTTGGGCCACACATACAGGTAAGAAACAGTTTTTCTTAGCTATATCCTGTATACAAAATACATGTTGTTTAGCTGCAAAAGTTATGTAGGTAAATTATTACTACATGGATGAACAACTCTTTCCCATAATATACCCCACAACCTATAGACCAATGTAAAGAAAAAAATACCGTATTAGGTATTGTACAGTACAGTAGTTGTAAATATTAGTGACAGTTGATTTTCATCCATTAAAAGGCATTTTTACAACAAACATCAGAGAGAAAATGTTGTTATACAGTACAGTACTCATCAAGTTATATCAGATGAAATTAACAAACTGCAGTTTTGCAGTTTCATTTTTCATGAGAAATGTACCGGTATAAATTCTATCAAGATGTTTTTCGTCAACACTACCATTCTCCAAAACACTCAATAATCCTTTCCCTACTCATTTACTGACACACAATGCTTCAATCATGCTAAAATTAGATACTGTATAAGTTAATGGCACTTAAATCTCTCAATTATATATATATATATATATATATATATATATATATATATATATATATATATATATATATATATATATATATATATATATATATATATATATATATATATATATATATATATATATATATATATATATATATATATATATATATATATATATATATATATATATATATATATATATATATATATATATATATATATATATATATATATATATATATATATATATATATATATATAGATATATAGATATATATATATATATATATATATATATATATCATGTAGATCCACAATGAAAACGTGGATAAGATAAATCTTGATAAAATCACACGGGAAAAGGGAAACAACCTTGATTTTTTTCTAACCTAACCTGACGTAAGTGTTAAACCTTTCTTTTTCTTTTACCTGGTACAGTATATTATTCTCTTATTGACACTTCTCTTCTATATTATGTGTGTGTGCATACCATCATAAAGTTAAGATACTATTTTTACTACAACGTGGGCATTGTGTCTGAAAAAGTGGAGTTTAGGGGTCGGCCCAGTCTCTATTTCAATTAATCCCATATGTTGTTATTCCATTTATGTGTTTCTCGTTTTACAAGCTACTCCGCGGGTTCAACTGACCGCGTAAATCGGGGTATTAATATATATATATATATATATATATATATATATATATATATATATATATATATATATATATATATATATATATATATATATATATATATATATATATATATATACACACACACACACACACACACACTGTACATGTACTGTATATATATATATTTTTTTTATGAGATTAGCCCACCAGGGCACAGGTCAATGACCCACATTATGAATGTTGTGTTGTCAAAGTAAGCAAAACAATTGAAACCCTGCAACTGTGTGTAATGAGGCAGAGAGTCAGGTCAGCAACCTGGGACTTGGTCACAATTTTTGTAATACAGTACCATATGGCAGCAGTGTCTACCATAAGACAATACATTATGCTTCCAAAATCTTCCCATTCGCTAGTACCTCCCTGTTAGATAGCTGCCTACTACCTACAACTCACTCCAAAAAGTATCTTATATGATTTTGTGTGAGACAATATGACACAATGGATGAAGGGTTTTGACCCTTCCTTAAAGATACTTTTTGGAGTGAGTGTACCTCATATACTTGGGACCAGTTCTACACACATGGGAGATAGGCGCTGATGTTTCCTTCCCCGTTTCAAATATCCTAGGGTAAACAAGTCAAATAATGATGGAAATTGACACCAACAATATTAATTCACCCTCAGAAATTTCACAGCTGCTCATTTACCCGACAAACACCATAGTGGGAGGATGTTTATTGGAACGTGCATCTGGCAGCCGTTAGTGATATCCATGCATCTCGTACATGTAAATATAAACATAAATATGTTATAAATTGGAATTTAATGAAAAACTTTAGACAATAGGTAATGCAGTGAAGATATGGTGACCTATATTATGAACCACTAAGTTTTGAAAATTAAAGAAATGGTAATACTTTTCCGTTGTTCTCCACAATTCTTTTAGAATGTTTTTTTTTTTAACTAACCTAATATATGATTTTTTTTTCAACTATAGGGTAACAATGAAACAATGGAAAAGGAGCAAAACTGCCTCTGCTAATTTAGATATCGTTTTTTCCACAGCTTGATTTTTAAGGATTTTAATATCCTGATTAATAAGTCAATTTATTAGGTCAGTGAATTTTTCTTAAAACGAAATAAAAAATATTAGGCTGTGGAACCGAGAAAGGGACTAAAAGGGTCGACTCTTAAGTTTTCTGTAGCTACAGCATTCAGAAGCAGTGGCATATTTGATGCAAGCCTCTGTAGCCAACTTTGCTAACATCCTTAACTTTCTTATCATCCTTATCGAATTGTATCCCCATATTCTTCTCTTATGTTTCTTTGGTTACCAGGAAGTGTGACACCATAATGCACACACACACACACACACACACACACATATTGGCTGGATGGAAAGCTGTCCATTTTAAATTTAATTATGAAAAAACTTCTATGAAATATTTTGGCCATGCTCAGTGGTTCACTCTGACTAAAATCGGGGTTTACTAACACTCTACACTTCTGGTTCAAAGACAACTGATCTTTTATTTGGCATAATGTTCCGTAAGACCAGCAACCCACTCAACAATTTTTATTAAGAAATGCTGTCATAGTATAAATATACAAGGGATCAAATACTGTAATAATTCTAGATTTTGTTTTTATCCATTACTAGTTATTCTAATATGTTAATTTCACTAATAAAGTCCATTCCATTAAAATAAGAAGGTTTGATTGTCTCATATTTTACAGCATCAAACTTTAGTGAATTGTTAAGTTTATCGTCACCATGACAATTGATGTAATTGTTAACCTTCATGAAACAAGAATTTTTGGGGGTTCACTTGATATTTTTTTTGTGCGAATCTCAATGATTGCAATAACTTTCCTTCAATTAAGTAAGTTAAATTTTAAGGGATAAAGTAACGCCAACCAACTTATAATTGCCAGAAACTTCACCATTCCCTTCCATTAAGCCTTGAAAAACAGGTCTCCAAAATGAACTATATTTTACCTATTCACAAGCAGCACACCATTCCAAAATTTATGATAACACCCTTTACACTGACAAAAAATTTCAAGCCAATTATTAAGCGAGTAGTAGTTATTATTTATCTAGGGCACAGTGACGACTTAATTGGCCTTATCATTAACACGTATTTTACACCCTCAAGAAAGTGATTACTGTACTGCCCTGTATATGACCATAGAACAAAAGAAATTTTCTCTCAGCTTCAATTATGGCGTTTAAATATAATAAAATCCATATAGGCAATGCAAACATACCATATATGTGGGTAACACTTCCATAATAATATATTTAAATGCAGTAGTTTCTAGACCGGTCCTTGTGGCTCGCCTGACAGCTGTGTTTTGATGCATTTGCTACTGAATATATACGTGATGACTAAATATATCAGGATTAAAACTTCTTGTGGGATCTGAATTTTTTATATTTTGAAAATTATAAGGATTTTTCATATACACCATAAAGACAATATTGCAAATTTATAATAAATACCAGATACTATTTTCAACTGGCCGACTGGTTCTAGTAATAAAAATATAATGTAAAGATTACTAATTTCTTTCAAGATTTAGTAATAGATATGTCTATATATTTTAAAATACATTGGAATGTAAATTTTGATAGGATATATCATACTGGAAGCACATTTCGATCCCGTTGTATTGCTTGGCTATTGACGATTTGGCGCTCCATTTAAACAAGATCTAATAGACATTTTCAGTTGGTCCCAATCTTTTCCACTCCATTTCCCCCCTTCAGAGAACTCCCAAGTCCCATTGGACCCCCCATCATTTTGTGCCAAAATGGTTGAAAAATTATGATGAAAATTAAATAATTCTGTTCAGAGGTGAAGAGAACAACATATTGTACAGTATATTTATCGCTTCTTCCACCATGAAGGCTAAAGAAGGCATTGCAATTAATAACTGTATAATTATAAAACTATAACTGTATTACATAACCCTAACCATTACTACAGTGATAATAACATATGAAGTCATCCAGTGAGTGATTTCAAAGGCAAATGCAATGTTAAATTGGAAAGAAATAAAGCAAATTTTACTCTGCGAAGTCGAAATAATTAATAAAGCCTTAGCTATTTCAGATTTTCTCTAAAAATGTAAACTTTCCTTGTGTTTACCGGATAATTTATCGCCACACGATTTTACAATTAATGGTAAACAGTAAATCCATTTTATCAAGGACAAGCCAAAAAAGCAGTTTTATTACCAAGGGGGTCAACGTCCTTTTTCACCTTGAGTCAGGCAGCCACGACGCTTTCAGTCTTATTTTACTTCTCTTTCTCTTGATCTTCTTCACCATAAGTGATTCAGGCAAATTTAAGCACCGCCATATTACCACACATGTTTTTGACCACGGTATGATATGCTTAATTATATTGCTCTATCGTAAATGGATTTCTGAAACTTACCTGACGTTTTCAATGTGCTCCTGGGCAAGGATGAAGGCGTCTATAATGATAACAACAGTGTACAGTGGTATGCTTCTATACAAGATTAATATCAAACAACTATATACCTGTACTCTATTCTGATAGAAAGAATGTACAGTACAGTATACTTTTACTTTTATCCTCTTCGCCACTGATCGGCTTGTTAGCCGCCCGGGCGATCGGTCACGTCTCTGTCACGCACTGTTGGCAAATACTGGGCATGCACCGGCTCCTGAATGTACCTGAACCCGCTCCAGTAAATTCAAATGTTATTTATTTAATACCGTTAAGCAATTGTCATAAAAGCTAATACCCAATATATTTTCGGCTTTATAAAGTTTCTCTTTGCCATTTGTATGTCACCCTCCTGTCTTGTTCACTCAGCAGTTGGGGAAGTGAAAGCAGTCGATTGCAATGCTGATTGTCTACCTCCTTGTATACCCACTTCCGCTTTCTTCCTTTACTTTTATCCCCTTCGCCACTGATTGGCTCGTTAGCCACTTGGGCTGTCGGTCACATCTGTGTGACAAGTACTGGCTCCTAAATGTATCTGAACCTGCTCCAGTGTTGGTCAAGTCTGGTCTTGAAAGAGCTCACACTCGGTACTGTCACAGCACTCTCCGGCTGGTTGTTCCAAGAATTCACGATCCTCACTCCAAAAAAGTTGGCCCTCACAACTTTCTGGACTTATGGCTTCTTCAACCTTGAACTGATAGTCCTTCCAAATATTGTTTGCATCATTTACCCAGGTGAAGGAGGGCACTACCAGTATTAAGGAGTAACTGCCTTTTCTATAAAGCAGGAAGGAAAATTAACCCCCTTCCCTACAGAATGCCATTTTTAATTTTATTTGGCCAACACCAGACGATTTTATTGGCACAAACAAATTAACATGTTGACTACACCACAATATTCATTTAAATCTATTAAAAGTGTAAAGTTTGTACCAAAGCACAGTATTTTGATGAATGTCAATTTCTTTTTAACAGATTAAAAATTATTACAACTGCTGTACTTCAGACAAATTATTGCACCAATTAAGAATTTTCACAATCAACCAAAAAATTCCTATTGCTTTGTGATACAGTACAGTACTGTACTGGTTTCTTATACAGTGGTCCCTCGGTTAACGAGCACAATCCGTTCCAGCATGTTGCTCGTTAACCGAAACCATTGTTTCAATGGGTTTTTGGGCAATTGGTTCCAGCTCACAGAAAATTGCCTAAATTCAACGAAAAATGTAGAAAAGCACACTTACTTTGAGGTGTGTATGTAGAAGGCTCCTGGATGATGATGATGGGAATTAAAATGGGGATGGAGGAGAAGGGAGAAGAGAAGGCATTGGGGTGGAAGAGAAGTCACCCCATGGTGCCATTTCACCCATAAAATTTTAGTTCTCTTGGTGTATTTCAAGATTATTTTCTTTAAATCAACACTGCACTGCATTATATATTGTCAATATGTAAAATAAATTTCAAAATGACCAATAATTTGCTTGGAAACACAGAAAAAAAGCATTTAGTTGAAGTCTCAAAGCAATATGTTACCTCCACTGAAAAGAGAGACTAACGCCTGTTTGTGTGTTAACAGGTTGGATGGCGTGCCAGAAACTAGTTTCTTTACCTTCAATTATGTTCAATAATTGTTAAAATGACTAAAAAATATTAATATTAAACTTTTAAAATTATTGAATAGTATAAACTTCTTGATATTCACTAAAATAGTAAGGAATTTAAGCCCTAAAACCGATTACTGTATTGGCGGACTAATACTACAGCTGGTGGACCGCCAAATGCAAGCGAAAACATGTTGAGGTCGGCTTGTAAAAAAACTCGTTAATCGAGGGATTGCTCGTTAACCGAAGTTAAGAATCTTATGGTAGGTAACTCGTTAACCGAGGGATCACTGTATGTCACAGGAGTACTTCAGTTTCCATTCTCTCTTCCTCTAGCACTTATGCCACTTCATCCCTAATCTTCATTTTCCTACATCCTCAATGGCTACCTTATTCATTCACAACAGATGTTTAAATAAGATATCTTATTTCTGTTGTGATATTTAACAAAGAAAATTCTCATTTCCATAAGCTGACAGGATACAGTACAAGGATAAAAACAAAGCTTCTATAAAATGTAAATATATTTCTCATTAAATAGTTCTTCTGTACATCTGAGATTAACAACAATACTGGAAAAGATTAAACCTCCCTGGGCTTGAAGCTTCTCCACAGGTATTGAAGAATCTTGTGTAGATGCTGCCTTTGCCTTGCTACCTTATAATTATAATGCTTTGCCTTGCTGCAGTTGGATGCTGATGAAAGCACGAAATCCTGACCAAATTACATTTCACAATTACCAAGATCACCATAGAATAATTTTTCATACTAATGCTTGTATTTTCAAGAGGATTATTTGGGAATGAAAAGGAAACCCAAAGTATTGTAACCCAGAGAAGCAGGTTCTCGACTCCCACAAAAAGGACTTGCTAACAGTTCAAAAATATTATTGTACTATACCAAAGTTTTAGAGGCGAGTTATAATGTGCACTTAATCTGATATGCCAATAAGGAAGCAAAATACCAATTTTAAAATGTTTACAGGGAGTCCCCGGGTTACGAATGTCCGATTTATGGACATCCGCCGATACGAACGAGGATAAATTCTAAATTTACAGTATTTTATTTACTCAATGACTTAATTTTTACTTTCATTTACTGCATTTTGCCATATTTTTCTCATAAATTAAGTGATTTTAGATGTATATAAGGACTTGGGCTATGATATAGTGGGATTTCAAGACATTCTGTAAGTACAGTATGCACATAGTGTGTTTCGACTTAAGAATGTCCCCAGGAACGGAATTACTTTGTAATCCGGGGACTGCCTATATATAACTGCATGCCCGTAAACAGTTTTCAAAATATTAAATGGCCAAACAGCATCATGTTGCCTTCACCAAAGTTTAATGCTCTGGTTAACAATATTGTGCTAATACAGTATTTTTTTTCTTTGTATAAACTTGCCAAAATTTGGCATTCACATGACTGGATGATGATCGTATTGTAAGAAATGATCCAAGGATATCCTTATCTTTAAAGCTGCACTTCATAGTCTACACAAAATTATTAGTTACAGACTCACCCATATAGTCACTGACCCAAAAAATAATTGTCACACACGCAATGACTGAAAATGTTGTCACCGATTAATTTACTCAAATGACGACACTCACTCATGGAAATTTAGTTCTACACCAGCACATGTAAACAACCAATTTAAATAGTTAACTTTGGAAATGTCACAGATTGCCAATAACAATTTCTACTCGCTTTCATTTTAAATATGTCTTTCCTATACTGTACATCTATTCTTACTCAGTGTCTGTTCTCTCCACATGACCAATATTCATGCTCCACCTTCTACTTTATTTACTTACAGTATATTTCTCTAGATTTTCCTAAAATGATAATTCAATTTAAACTCCACAACTAATCAAAATGACTAGCTTATCGTATTATATATTACTTGCCAATTACTGTTACACTACAAAAGTAAAGAGAAATGCAGCTGTTCCTCCTGAAGTATTACTGTACTTTACAAGATCACATTATTCATCTTTATATCTTCCTACAATGAGTCCATTTTTTTTACTAAGAGTATGACCCCCACCTTCAAAATCCTACCTTTCCATATGTATCCACTCAACTCCCCTTCCTCAATCATGACTATACAGTAAAAAGAAAAATATGGATTTTCTAAATATACCTCAAGAAAACTACTGCAAGGTACTGTTCTGTAAACTAAAAGCACATGTCAAACTCTTCACAAAAAAATCTGAAGTTAAATTCATAAAATGTGAATGGAAAATAAGAAATGGAGATCCTTAGGTGGTCTCAGATCAAAGCTTAGTTTGGTTTTTTTTTTTAAGCAAGAGAGAGCAAAAGACAAATTTGAAAGTAGCTACCATTTGTCATAACACTTCAAACAAGGTTAGTGACAATGCTCTTAGTTACTCTTCCTAACACGTAGCTAATAATGAATGAGAAAGGGTAGACGATGAGGATATATAGCTTAAAAACAAAGCATTGCAAGGCTGACAAAGGCTAAAGACAGTATCTATACATAGCAAATTCTCAATGGCCTATTCAAGTTTTGCAGTTACATTTTTACAGAAGCAGTAACAGCAAGCTTCAGTAAGGCCATAGTTTGCTCCAAATTCTGCATTCTTTTCCTGTGTAAACTGTCCTCAATCAGTAGAGTAAGTTGCACTAGTTCTTTTCAAGCATATTGTCCCATTAAAAAAATAGACATTAAAAACAAACAATACCTTACATAATGATTTACAAAAATTTAAAATACAAGTGCTAAAGTCAATTCAAAATAAAAATGGCATGTATATATACAGTATACTCTGCATTCTTTAGTGTTAATGTATACATAGAGTTTTTTTAAGTTAAGTTTCTGAAAAACATTTTAAGTATCAAAACTTGCACTGTATACATGTGTCATTTACTACATGGTGTTAAATCTGGATCTGAAAAGCCATAAATGCACTACAAACCTTCAGAAGCAGATAACTGTGCAACTCCGTACACTCAAGGTCAAAGCACCAACACCAAAGCATATAACTTTTGGAAAAAACAGTTCTTTATATAATACAGTAAACTGATGACAAACTGTTTCTACATGAAAATCATACAAAACAGTTCACTCCTTACAAAGATACTGTATAAGACAAAGGAAGTTTCAACTCCTGACATACAGTATATGTTAAAACCCAAGTACAGTACTGTACATCAAAAGGCGTCAGAGGACAAAAAATTTAATTTAAGAGATAGCATTAGAAAAATTCTATGCTCATTTACCAAGTATACAGAACTATGTGTCTACATACAGCATACAAGAAATTGCAAGTAGTTTCAGGTAGAACCCATTATCATATATATATATTTTTTTAGATTGAAGCAAATGATGAAAAACAGTAGTAATAGATATTATATTATTTTACCCAACATCAAAATCACCATAGTTTACTATAATAATTTTAAATGATTTACAATACTGTATATGTAACCAAAATTATACAGAAGACTCCATAAATCACATGTTAGATTATAAATTCACCTAGAAACCAGGGATTTAAATGTAACTGGATGATAGGAGACCAAGTTTAAGTTGTTTAAGTACAAAATATTTATTTATAAAATATAAAATAATTACTGAAGCACTGAAAATTGCAACAAGAGCAGAGTAGAGGAGAAAGTGTCTGTTAAGAAAGGGAAGGATGCATGTGGATCCAGGTTTTATGGTAAAGCACAGGAGTGAAAATTTTCAGTTTAAAAAAAAAAAGGGGGGGGGGGGAATTGTTTTGAGGCATTTATGGATTTACAAGAAAATGTATGACAGAACATAAATATAACAGCAATGCGAGAATATTGAAAGTATTGTTGAAAATGGAAAAACTTTTGAATGCTGTTTCCGAGTGTGACAGAAAGAGAGAAATGGGCCTCTATAATTAAAGACATCAAGAATGTTGTGTGGGGGTATTGAATGCATGGCTAGTGAACGAGATGTAAAATGTACATAGTACAAGTTAGAAACTCGTAGTTAGAAGAAGAGAGGAAAATTAAGATGATGGAAAGATGAGGTGAAGGATCCATAGGATAGACATCCAGAAGTTGCTGCCTGCACGAATGAGTGGAATACATAGTTTCAAGTGTTCTTTTAAGGAAGGCCCTACTGCTGACTTCCGTGAAGCACTAGGGACAAAATATGTGAACAAGTACTGGAACAGAATACATCTTTTACAGAGAGAGAGAGAAAATGGCCGATTAATGAGGACACTATATAGGTATCTATTAATTTTTGGTCTGCCTGTATAATTTTTTTTTTTATACATACAGTACAGTATACCTATATACTTAGCATAAAATACCAGGAGGCCAATCAGTGGACACTAATAATTAGGTTACACCACAATGAAGTTATTCATCAACCTGCCCACTGAAATTTTGGAAAACATACATAGGAAACCTTTGAACCAAATACTGTATAGTACTTAAGGCTAGCCATCACCATTGATGATGATCTAATGAATAGTTGGTACAGTTCCAAGTCTCAAAGATTTTATAGATACACATTATCATTATACAGGTATCCCTCCAGATATGAATGGGTTAGGTTATATAAAAAAATAGAATTTTCATACCTCGAATAGAAAAACTTATGGGGAAAATACACAAAATCAGTTCACAAACCAGAAAAAACCTACCAAACCAATGATAAAGAGTACTTAACTACTGTAATTTACTACCCAACACAATAAAAAAATACTATCGAGATGAAAATCTACAGCTAAACTATTGAGGAAAATTAAACCAAAGTTTAACAAAACCACACGCTGGCTACTTCACGTGTTGGCGCCCTCAAGCGTCGCCATAGTAACCAGCCTGGCCACTTCTGCCAATGCCCCCTCCCCCACTCTCACATACAAAGAAATGTTTATTCCCTATATGTTTTTTGACCTTATGATAGTTATTTCTTTTACTTTTTGTGCCTTTTGTATGTAGGATTGTGTGTGCATGTAACTGAATGAAAAAATATGAAGAAAGTAATGTTTATACTGTATACCCAAGATACAACTAAAAAAATAACCCTCCTCAGCCTGGTAGGGAGAGCGCTCGGGGGATGTGGCTGCCCCAGCAGATTTCCAGGGGAGCGCAATTTGAATTTTTGACGGGACCCAAATTTGTATAAGCAGGGAAAGCTTTCATAACATGAAGTACAGTATTTCAATTTAGGAAATTCGAATATCTGAATTTTCGTATCTTGAGGGATACCTGTATAACCATACAATAACTTAAATACTCCCTGTTGAGATATGAACAAAGGACAGCAATGTGTAGGTCCTAGGAGATAAATACTGTACTCCCTTAGTCAAGTGAGCACAGCCACAAGACTGTCTTGCATGCCCGAGTTCAAACCCATATTGGAGATTTTTCGTTAAAATTTTTATATGAACTATTAACCGATTTTCAAAATGTAGTAGCCATTCGTTATTGCATTTAATGCTATTTAACAAAAAGAAATTTCATGAACAAATTATAGACAACAGTAAACTTGGATAGCCAATTCTTAAAATAAAAAATATACAAAGTTAGCAAATAACATTTTCTGAAAAAGAACCAAACTTTCATCACCAATGTGCTCCATAAATATTGGAAGAGCTAGCCATTTTACTTCAAGTATCTTAATCTAGAAATGTAGTATGAGACATACGAGAAAAAATTTCTTTACTAAGCCAATTTAAATAATGTACAGTATTGTGCTACCCCTTTTCTTTTTATCTTAAAATAATAACATGCACTATAAATTACATCACCCTTGGATATTCATACCTAGTGAGGTTTAATCTTTTCTTAGTATTACAATAACTATTTATATATATATATGTATAGTATATAAAAAAAATCCTAAGTTGCAAACATGGACATGACATCAAATCATAAAAATGTTAACATATCACATACCATAAAATGTTTAAGTGAGGCAACAGGCTTCTCAAGACCTAATTCATGAAATACACAAGTTTCCACAAAAATTTTTTGTGAAAAATGAGCCTTAAATGATATTACTGTACTTGAGACAACGTTCTCATTTTGCAATTATCACATGAATAAAGCACCGCCTGGAGATATCCTAAGGTCGTTGCCCACAAACTCATATGTTTCTATAAAAATATTTACATTCTGGAAACTTCTAAGATATTCTGGTTATATGTTAGGTAGACAGAATCACAATTGTTTTCAGAAACTTTAAACATTTCCATCCATTCTTAATATACCTCACTTCTCATTCTTTAAAATTTGTTCCAATCAATGTCATAGCTATGAATTTTAATTTGATCAAATTAACTTGCCCTTCCTCTGATTCACTCAAGACAATGACTAGACTGAATTCCAATTCAGTTTTCTTTTTTAACTATGTGCACCACATTCTTCTGCATTTTCATGTTTACTCTTACTGTGTAATATCCAGCGAGATCTTATTCTCGGCAAGTAATATAGACTTCAAATACATTTCCCTCTAACAATATTCAAACTGAAGGCACAATCTGTACATCCTATGGAATTAATGTATTTTTATTTTGTTTCCTATGCCTACATCACTGCTACTTGCCCAACCAGTTGTCATCTGCTGCTGAACAATTTGCTGTCAGAGAGGGCATGTGAAGTGTCCGTAAGCGTTCCACAGTTTTATTCGTCGTTGTACCAAGTGTAATACGCCTTTCCTGAACCATAAGTTTCCCATCATTATCACTACTACTTTTACTTGATTCTGCATCACATAAATTGTCTCTAATTACACTATCCTTAATCAGATCACTGTCCCAATGTGGAGGTGGATTTTCATTTCTATTATTTTTGGTCATATGGTGCTTAAAGAGTTCATATATACTCCATGAGATTGCAGTTCCTGGCATCTGGTACAAAACACGTGCTTGTATTCCTTTGAAGAATCCCGCAACACCATTCATCACATAAATGGTCCGAAGAGCACCCAAAAGTCCAACCACTCGTGACTGTTGCAGATGAACCAGGGCAGATGTTTCTTGGGTGTTAAGTACAGTTTTACACATATCTAATGGTGTTGTGAAGGCTGATGCTGCAGCTCCAGCTGCTGCTCCTGCTACCATATGAGCTCTGGGATTGTAATCCCTCTCTGGATTCATGACACTCTGGAACTTCTCATATGTTACAATGTGAATAGCATGGAAGGGTAAGTTCATAACCAATTGTGTTGTGAATGAACGGTAAAATGCTTTAACACCCTCACTTCGGTATAGTTTCCGCAAACAATCAAAACACGAACTATATGGGCTATTGTACATCTGCATCCTTTGCTTGATAACTGAAAAGAAAGTAATCTATGTTAAGTTTAAACTTAAAGTTTCCAAACCATGAAAATGTGTGCTGAAAAATGTTGAGACAGAGATTACAGTAATAAATATATTAAAGATTTTTGACTGATGTACTGTACCAAGATAAGATTATGGAATGCAAATAAGTGTACAATGCAAGAAGAAATGGTACAAAAGACACAAGGAACTTCCCTAAATTTATAGCAACTTGCTGTAATCCAACACATCTCTAATACTGTCCTGTAATTCTTATACAATCTCCAATACTTCTCACACCAATCTTCTGACTAACCCAACATTTCAATAATTAATAACACACTCCTAGCAGACCCATCAATTCAACTTTTCATCAACAGTGAACTACAAATCACAGCTAAATGTCGTAAAATGAATCTGAATACAAGAAAACTCAACAATATATAGATATAATGGCAAGAACATAGTAAGTTTTCATACCATCAGCAGGTACCATTATAGCATCATGTAGAAGTGTAGCTCCACATCCAGCACCCGCTGAAAAAAAAACAGAACAATTATAAATTAAGGCACTGGCAAACAACACATCACCTATATACTGTACAGTATTCTTGCCAATGGGCACATTATAAAAAAACATGACAATATTCAACATAGCTAAAATTTGGATAACAGCAAAGATGCATAGCATATTATCCTTAGTATTTGTAATAATGCCAATAAGTTTCAAAATTATAACTGTTGTTTAAAGGAAATACATATTCAAATTACCATTGACAATATGGTTCTGGAAGGCATTATTGGAGCCAAACGTTGCTTTAATTCCTTCATATGTTGAGAAGTAAAATGCATGGGCAGGACCTGCTCCAATAATGACTGCATTTACACCTCCCATTGGTCTGAGGAGTCCTTCTGAGCTTACCATCTTTGTTAAGCCCTCTCGGATGGATCGATATGCTGCTTCAGGTGATGGTGCTAAACTCTGCATTCGTGTCTGTAAATTCAACAACATGAAATATTTCACTGATTCTCAACTTCAATCTGAAACCCTACTCTAAGTTTTCTTACCTAATGCCACAAGTTATTCTTTATAGTATTCTTTCACTTACAGGAGAATAATAAAAACCTTCAATGGTTTCACTTTGATATAATTACACCACAGACTTGTTAAGTATTAGACAGACAGCATTCTGAAAAAAAAAAAAGTATACCCAGTACTGTACTGTATTAGCAATAACATTATAAACGCTTTCCCTCAGTAGCTTATGTATGGCCCACTTTTGTGAAGGGGAACCAGATCATCAATAATTATATTACCCTTTACACAGAGCACTCTTTAATGAAATCATATACCGGTATCAGTTAGTATGGAAAAAACTCAAAACCCATTAAACAGACAAAATCCAGAGTAAAGAACCAATCTTTCCAAACATTGAATCATTTTTGTTACTGGTATATTAAAATAAGGCTGCAGATTACATTTGCACAAAAATTTAATGCAATCGTCTCTTCTTGCATTTAACACATTACAATATTTGCATCAGCACAGATTACCATATTCAATAGACAAGTTATTCAGGGAAATCAAGAACCAAACCAAACCAAACAGCTTCGTGAGTGGTAGAAGAAATGGCTGTTAAGATTCTATGTCACCAAGTGTAAGAGGATGCATCTAGGTCGTACAACAGTAAGGAGTATCACATGTCCCAACGGGAAAAAAAAACAGCATTAACCGAGACTGAATGTGAAAAGGACTTGGATGTATATGTTGACAATGAACTGAAGTTCTTGGGCCATTGTGAGAAGGTGAATCAAGCAAATAAACTAGTAGGTATTATAGGGTCTTTCAGATATCTAGACGGTCTGTCCCTCGTAATGCTCTTCAAGAGTGAGGTACTTCCTGTTTGGGGTACTGTACAGTGCTGGCACCTATGCGGTCCCTAAGATATACTAGGACAGTCAGTTGATTAAAAATGTCCAAAAGAGGGCTACCAGGCTGGTGCCTGAGCTATGGCACCTCAGTTACCCTGAGGGATTAGAATGCTTACAACTGCCTAGCTTATACTGCTTTAACTGCCGAATGGTTAGACAGTTAAATGATGTCATGTCTTAAGGGTGAGAGAAACCCGCAACGTGGACTCACTCAACGTTTATTGATTGATACGGTCAAAACCTGGAGAAGTAAGACACTCATTAACTACCGATTACATTCCATTACATGTATACATTATACGTCAGTTAGTAAATACAGTGATCCCTTGGTTAACGAACACCTCGGTTAACGAAATTTCGGTTAACGAATTACCTTCCATAAGAATATTCATTTCGGTTTATGAAAAAAATTCGGTTAACGAATTCCTTAAGAATTTTTCCCAACATGTTTTCGCCTGCTCACCAGCTGTAGTATTAGTCTGCCAATACAGTAATCGGTTTTAGGGCTTAAATTCGTTATCATTTGAGTACATATCAAGAAGGTTGTACTATTCAATAATTTTCCAAGTCTTATATTAAATTTTTTAGTCATTTTAACAATTATTTAACATACTGTAATTGAAGTACAGGGAACTAGTTTTTAGCGCACCAAACAGCCACTTGACTCAACCAGAAGCCATCTACAAGTACACCTCAAAGTAAGTGTACTTTACTGCATATATTTATAGTTTGTATGTAATTTTCGGTGAGCTGGAACCAATTACCCAAAATCCCATTGAAACAATGGTTTCGGTTAACGAACGACCTTCTGGAACAAATTGTGTTCGTTAACCGAGGGACCACTGTACACTATTCTGTATGGTTATTATCCAAATTGCCTTACAGTATGCACGTATGTAGTTCACAACATTTCACCATAATACAAACAATCACTGTTCTTTCACTCACATGTGCGGGCTTACGGCTCCACTGAACTCCTAGTTATAGCTAGTGCATGTACACTCGATGGGGCTGGACGATACTGTGTGCCAGAAATGTCCTGAGCCCCATCTATGGTCATAACAACTAAACGCTTGTTCTATGGCTGTGACGTTTACAAACAACTGGCGAGGTCACAGGTCACATGGCCACATGGGAGTCAGAGGTAACAGTGTGCGAGGGTGGTGATAACACTGTACTATAGGCGAGCAAGGGGCGGCTTAATTGAAGTTTATAAGCATCTCTGAGGGCACTACTCAGTTGAGTGTCCATACCTGGAGCTGGCAGATGCCTGCTCCACTGGAGGTCACAGCTTAAGGATGAAGCTACAAGTCCCCCAAAAATGTCAGTGCAAAGTTTTTGGGAGACAGAATTGTAAACTCTTGGAACAATCTGTCAGTGTGAGCTCCATCAAGACCAAACTTAACCAACACTGGCACAGGTACAAATAGATTCATTCTGGAGCCAGTATATACATGCCCAGTACTTGCCAAATGTGAACATAGACGTGACTGATTGTCAGCAGCTAACAAGCCGATCAGTGGAAGAGAATAAAAGTAATGAAAATGTCTACAGAAGACTCTTTAACCCATTCACTATGACAACACCACTTTAAGTATTTTATTTGGCTCACACCAAATGATTTTATTAATCACAGAGAGGCCTGTGTACACAAGCAATATATATGTAGAATTCTTTGGATTAAATCCATTCCAGATTCACAAGACATGTTAGTTCACTGAGAGATATTTGGGGTAATGTAAATTTTTGTCATCACTACCTGTCACACTCTGAATCACCGATACATTTAAATATATCGTATTGTGCCTTTGTATCATAGAGATTTGATGAACCAAAAATATTCTTTAATCAAAAACATTTTCACTATTCTACAGCCAAACCCGAAAGTATCGAGACCCCAGGGTCTGGTGGAATAGAAAATGAGCGATAACTTCAGACACATTCCAGTATTGGTTGGGTTGAGTTGTCTTCACCGGATGTTTCACATTCTTTCGGACACCTGAAGTCTTAACACTTTTTGGATTGGCTGTACAGTACACAATACAGGTATACTGTATGTGTAAACAGTATAGTACTGTAAATGTATCTGGGGCATTTGAACCATGGCATCCTGTGAAGATTAGGCACCTTAGCTTTACACTTGATTAAACACCCCTAATATTACCTGGAGGGATTTTAATTTAAGTTAGACCGAGTTATTGTTTGGGCATTTAATCACCAGTTACAATTTTTTAGACAAGCTCTTACAAATGCTGGAGAGTGACTGCAGGTTCCTCTTACCACTACACTATAGTAAACAATGCTGTGCAGGCATACCCCCGATAACCAACGCATATAAGGACTATGAAAAATCATTGGTTACTGAATCAATGCTTATTGAAGCAATTGATCCCATAAGAATATAACAAAGTCAGGAGGTTAGGGACCGACCACCCCCCAAAAAACTCCCATGTACTGTACCCTTGATACATATGCCGTGCACAGTGTCAATCAAGAAAATAAAGCTGACATATAAAGCAAGCATAATAAGCATTAAATAAGGAATGTAAAGCATATATTGAGACTTATTTACCTGTGCTGAGGATGGTAGAGATAGTCTGGGGGGGGGGGGGCAAGTTCAAGTCTCTACCAATCTTTCCTGGTCTATCAACACTCTTATTACACCTTATCACATCACATTAAGCTACCTCACAGCACAAGAGGAACTTCAATGGGGCGTATAGGCATGATTGCGTAACACACGCATATAGGCATGATTGCATAACACATGCGTTTAGGCATGATTGTATAACACACAACGTTGGAAATAACGAAAAACACAAGACGGAGACACATGGCAAGTGTAAACAAGTGCAGACAGAAGAGAACAAGTTGGAGGCAGCACACAGCACCCTCTTGTGGCAAGAATTTGCACCATGCCCCCAATCGTTGGATCAAATGAAACTTGTGGGGTATTTCCCCAATATGTAAAATGGTTATGCGAAGCACCGGTTAATGGGGCGTCAGTTTTTGGGGTATAAGTACCTGTACTTTTTAGCTAGACCATTCTGTAACATGCCAATACAGTACAGTACAGTACTGCATCACTTATATTATGCTATATTATTCTTAACGGGGAATGTATAAGGGAGTAGGGGGAAAGGTCTTGAAAATTCTGATTTCAAGAGAACTCCAATTTAAGTGATAGGTAGCAGAATTAAAGGCATTATTTTAATTTCACACAATCATGGAATCTAAGAATTAAACTCTGCTATCAATAGTTAGACAATTCTAAGACACTTTTCTTCAATGACAATTCTGTCGCAAATGGCTTATATAGTATATGCTGGGAGTTCAAGTAATCTTTAGGTCATTTGTGAGGGAAACATCATATAGAAGGAAACTATCATAAAATTTTCTAAAATATTGATTGCATAGATAAAATTCCTAAGATTACATGGTTGAGTGAAAGTAAAACTTTACTAAATTGGTACTACTGTATGTCTTTTCAAAAGCCTTTACACACTAAACATATTCATGAAATAATGTACAGGTATTAAGATATTCCCAGAGAATAATCAAGTGTTTACAGTACATTGGTCCCTCGGTTATGAACACAATTCGTTCCACAGAGTCGTTCGTTAACCAAATCTATTATTTCAATGGGATATTGGGTAATTGGTTCCAATTCACAGAAAAGGTACATACAAAGTACTGTATACCAGTAATAGAATTTACAAAACATTAAATATAAACTAAATACAGTATTGTAAAGTATACTGTACAATAATAAATAAAAAACAATAGAATACTGTATTTTAACTTACTTTAATGTGAGTATGATGTATTCCAGACAACTTTGTTTAAATATCAAACAGCTGATTGTAGAGGCAGTCGATGATGACATGCCATATTCTTTACAGAGCGCATTGGTTCTAATGCCTTCTTTGTGTTTTATAATAATTTCTGCACTGTATATTATCAACATGTTAACTAAATTTCAGAATGACCAATAATTTTAATGTAAAAATGCAAAAACATTCAAGAGATCAACAAAATCGATGTTCACTCCACTGTAAACAAAGTTAAACTGAGAAGGGTTGTTGGGTGATTCAATCAGCTGATGGACGCACAAAAACTGTTCCCTGTACTGTCTATATTATCAATATGTTAACTAAATTTCAGAATGACCAATAATTTTAATATAAAAAATGCAGAAATATTCAAGAGACCAACTTTCTTGACATTTACTTCACTGGAAACGAATGTAAACATAATGCCAATTACTGCATTGGCGGACTAGCTGATCAGCTGATGTGCACAGCAAAAAGTGTTTGTCGTAAAGATTTTGTTAATCAAAGTTTTGTTCGTTAAACGAACTGATAATCCTTATGGGAGCTAATTCGTTAACCAAAAATTCGTTAATCGAACCGTTCATTAACTGAGGGACCACTGTATTGTACAGGTATTAGTGAAGTTAGTATATGTCTAGAATTCTGACCTGGTCAACAAACTAGATCATATTAAATATTTACAGGGGATCATCAAAGCCAAAATTTTAAATATACTGTAATACTGTATGAAAATTGCTGTAAAAACCTTATATGGTAGCCAGCAACAGTGGAAGTTAGCTATAGGGATGGCAGTCATCATCGGTAGATGTTTCATGTTCTGTACATTCCATTTTTGTTCATATGGAGGCGGAGAAGGGAATCCTCAGCCGCCAGTTATGGATTTTGTACTCGCATAAATACGACACTGAAATCAACTGACAAATTTCCCTTAAAAAAATAGAAATTGATAATTTTCTTCATACTAAAAAATCCAAATCAAACTAAGTACAGTAGCTCTACACACATCCTCATGTACAGTAGCTAAACCAACTATCTGTGCAGGTGGGAGTCGATATGTTCCAAAATTTTACGTGTGACTAGTGACAGCCCTCATATACAGTACCAAAATTTATTGTCCATGGTCTCATATTGTTTCCCACAAAGTATGCACAGATAGTTGTTTTAGCTACTGTACACAATGTCAGAGGTCAGTCTCTCCTTACACTCTGTCACACAAGCCACCTTCTCTTCTGTGCTAGCAAGTACTGTTTGTTACAAGATAACCACCTAAGTAAAAAAAGAAGTACACTGTATTATTTTACTTTCTGACAACACAGGAATCTTAGGATTTTTTTATTTGCAGCGCTATTGGTAGTTTAGACAATTCTAAGTCTTAGAATTGTCTAAACTATTGATTGCAAAAATAAAATTCCTAAGATTCCTGTATTGTCCGAAAGAAAATTTACCAAAATATATCTCGCAAGCATTAGAAATTTGTTCAGGTTGAAGTCCTTTCATCCTTCAATAACTTAGCAAATCAGTCATATACTTTCCAGCAGACATTAGTTTAGTATACTAGCCTTTATCCATAAAGGTGATGGCACACTGGGCACTTTCCTCCCAACATGTTACCCGTTTGGCTAGCCTGGAGGCCCAACAAGCAGCAGGATTTCGCCTGTTGCGAGAAACAGACAACAGTTTGGCGGCAAGCTTTGCTGGCTGGGTCAGTGCTCAAATGCGCTTCATATTAGTGTTGAATATTAATGTAAAAATTGAAATAAATTATGAAACAATAATAATTTAAGGATAATATGGAAGACTTCACAGCTGCTCCCCCCCAACCTCAGTAACAGTAATTTCGCCAACAGCAGGTACTAAGTTATGCTAGGTTAGGTTGGTTTGAGGTTAGGTTGGTTTGAGGTTAGGTTAGTTGAGGTTAACTTAACTTGAACTTTTAAATAATTTTTGTTAACACATTTGCCATAACTATGACAACGGCCACTATAAAACAGTGAAATTGCGGTATTTTTAAATTCGTTTTTGATGAAAAATCAGCAGTAAATAATTATCCAATTTAAAATATAGCACAAAATGACGTTTCTATTTAATCGTCACTTTTAAACTTCTTTAGTATTATTAAATCATTATTTAGGGTCTTCTTTGAGCAGCCTGCTGCTGCCACTTGTAATGAAACTTCACAATGCACCCTTTGTCTTTTCTTTTGCCTTTGCAGATGCCTCACTTGCTTCAGCTATTGTAGAACTATAGCACAATCCTGCAAGGCCTCAACGGGATCCATGGCGAACCTCGTCTAGACACTTTGTTGTTGTTTTCGTTGCATTGGGCAGTCGCGCTAACAACATATTCCAGTGTGATGCAAACGTCTCTGTTTTGCTGGCTGGACCGTGTTTGCCCAACATGTTGGGAGGAAAAGTGCTCAGTGTGCCACCATCTTTAAACAGAAGCCATCATCTGTGGATGATAGCTGCAGGGATGGTGGCCATCATTTGTGGCAATTCCTGGTTCTTGTGTTCCATTTTTGAGCAGATGTGGGGTGGAGAATCCGGTACTTGGCGTGAAGATTAAATAACGAATGCAATACCAACCCGGTATACTAAAACCTTTACAACCCGCAACAAGAGTACCGGTACTCGCATTATGCAATAATTTTCAAATCATTAACCATTTAGTTTTCTTTACAAGCACTGGTCCAGAAATAAGAACTCTCACATGTCACTGGTGAAAGCACTCGTACAACACTATCACAATCCACACACTTTGCACTATGCAGTTTTAAGCACACAAATTCAAATTTTCTGAGGGTTTTTTGATATCTGAATATCAAGAATTTTGATTACATTTTGCTGGCAACTGAAGGCGTTGATGGTACACCGGTAACATGTGTATCTCACTACTCTCACCTGGGTTCAAGGCCTGTGGCCCATGACAATTTTGAGGCAGGTGTTATCCAGTGTGACCCTACCAAACAAGGCAAGTTTCCTCCTGGTCAAAAACCTGTGAGCTGGTAAGTGGCGAAATGAAACAAAATAAATAAATTCCGAATGGTTGAAGTCCTCACAAATCGGTTTCCTTTTTTGAGCTACACAAAGTGGTCTGTAATAAAGTTCAGGCTGTGCATATTTTACTGCACTCAGGCTACTAAATAGTTAAAGTTATAACTACGGTATGCTGTTATGTTCTTGTTACTCCAGCCAAACTTAATGATCCCTGAATGCATTCTACCTTAGTTTAGGCAACACATGTTTGTATTTTTTTAAGTACTTATGAGAGTGAAAGTGTTGACAACCGGCATGTATGTCTGTGTTTTGTAAGAGTTACAGCAAAACAGTCACTCCCATAAACTTTAATATGGACCATTGTGGCAAAAAAATTACGGAAAATTATGGGACGAAATACAACCACTACTGTTACGCCTGACTCCACCGAGGATCTCCATTAATAAGCTAACACTCTGATTATAAACTGTGGTACTTTAGCAAGAGGCTGATGCCATGCTAATAAATTACATTAGTTAACCCACCTTCACAGAATCAATGGGGAACATTACGCAATGTTCCATTACTCCAGCAACAGCTCCTGCCGTCATATGTACACCCACTTTACTGGTGGGTAAACTCTCATAGTCGTCGAATTCCATTGTCCGTGTTATTAATCAGTTTACAACACTGAGAAACACTTGTAATTAACTATAGGGTTCGGTATCGAGTTCGGTAAAGAGAAAGTTCCTCGGAAGCAATGTTAATGTCGCCGTCGGAGCTCAACCTCCTGCTCCACGGCGGCCAACATATTGACCGCCTCCACCACACTCTACAGGAGCCATGACACGTGTGGTCCTGCCCTACCCCCCACCCCCCACCACCACTCCTCTTGTGTTGCCATCTTTATCTTAAACCTTTACAATCAATATGAACTGTAGGACAAAACAGGAATATCAATCTTCTCAAAGTATTTATTTTATCCTGCCTGAGTTGTATGAAACAATTCTTAGCCATTACCCTCCTTCGTTACCCTGCATGTGCTGCCCTCTATATTTTCAACTTACAAGATTTTAATAAATTGTGAAGCGAAACAGGAATCTTAAGGTTATAAAACTATTAGAAATATCATGCTACCTAAATTGTGAAAAAATAATTCGAAGAAAAAATGTTTGATGAAATATAGATGGCGCACCTTTCACATAGCCTTAATATACATCTGGCAACACCCTTGGCAATATTTAGGGATGCATCTGTTTTGTGAATTATGTGAATTTTACATAGCTGAGTATTTATTCAATTATATACCTTATTTTATAATATTGACTTAACATTTACATGCAAATCTAAGAAAAAGTTGATAATAATTGTCATTAGTGTAAATGTTGCTGAAGAGAAACAGACAAGCTCCCGCCATCAGAAGTGTTTATCTGGAAGCAATAATGGTTTATAATAATTTAAGCTGAAAACAGGAGCGGAAAACGGATTTAAACCAAAAACAATTCTGATTTTCTTAAAAAGTCAATAAATATGATAATTAGTTGCTCATATCTCGATAAATACACTGAAAGGCTTCACACATTTTCATTTTTCAATTAGCCATTGAAATGAAAATAGACTTGTAATCTAGGAGTCTTGTTCCTTGTTATTAATGGATAATTGTTTATAATATCCCATTATGAGGTTATCATACACAATAGGTCATTCAGTTGGTAAAAGATAATCTACAGTACATGCAGTACACATAACCGTTTCTTTGTGGCAGAAATCTTTTGATATTCGTTTACTCTGAGCTCGGTAATGTTAACAGTAACGTAACAACTGTACATAACAAACTTAGTGTGTTATAGTGTGCAAGTCATGTTGACAGTGTGTGTTGTAGAATCCTGCGGCACCGACATGGAAGTTGGACGTATACAATAGTGTGGCCCGTCAGCGCCCAGCTCCCGGGAGAAGGTTAGGCTCAATCATGGCTGCACGTTATCAAGAACTTTGTAAATCATGATCAAACTAGATCACAATCAAAAAGGTTTCAAACACTAAAAACTTCTATGGCGTTTATGCAGACTATCTATCCATCTCTCTATTTACTCTACTGTGACGCATAAAGTTTCTTGTGATTTTAGGAACATAATGGTCAGCGAACATTGTAAAATATCCAGAAATACATAATGATAAATAGATACATTTGATCAACAGTACAGTACCACCAAAAAAGCCTTTCTGGTACAGTATTTGGCGCGAGTTTAAGTTTAATATAACTTATGTAGTACCAAACCGGAAAACAACTAATTTTGTCGTGTAATCTTATTGAAAGTTAACGAAAAATGCGTGTTTACCGATATCCATCTGTTAAACCATATTTTGATAAAATAGTAATTGGAACTACCACATTGTTTCCTCTTTGTCAAGGGAACTGTGGAAAGCATTTTGGTAGTGAGGCGAGTGAAGGGGAGTGTGGTGGTGGTGGAAGCGCGAAGGTCACCTTGGAGCTCTAGTGAGTGGTGACTTTATAAAGGTAAAGGAAGACAAATGTTACAGTGACTCCTGCTGGAGTTATGGTGAGGCGCTAGAGTATTAAAATGGAGGCTGCACACCAACCACCTCGTCAAGAAATACAAAATCAAAAACTATTATTCCCTGTACTGTACATGGATTCTGAAACATTACTCTGTGGTAGGCTATCCACGTCTCACCCATAATACAATTTCGTGTAAATCTGTATAGTGTAGTTGAATATTTATGCACAGTAGTTAGTGATGTTATTGTTAGGGAGTTCCATACAGGTAAACGCAGATATGCCTCCTGCAGATAACTGCATTTAGTTAGGATCAAGTGGTATTGGTATTATCATTATCTTTGTCATTATTATTAAAACATTTTTTTTTTTAGAATTAACGTACGAATTATCATTATTTTCAGAACCTACGCATTAGTCATATACAATACTGTGGTTTCTCGGGAAAGGTCACAAAAGTTATTGGTCACTAAGAAAAGGTGATTCTTGAGAGAGGTCATACCAAGAACATTAAATAAAAATACGGCCTTCTTCCCATATCACAGAAGTAAATTCAAATTAATGGATATAGTAACTGTACCAAATGCCATGCAAATTGGTAGACAAAAATTGTAAGACTTAAGTACTATATTGATTAAAGTACTGAAAATTACTAGACAAAAATATTTATTTCTTGTCACATGTCATAACAATAAAATCATTACATATGCACAAATCTCAAAATTTCGAACATCATTTGGTGGGCCTACAGCAAGGCATTATAAATGACACGAACTCAAGCTGTGTTCATTCTTGTAGAAAGTGTACAAATTTCCTTCAAATGTTCGTACAAAGTTGCTGTATTGCACTTGGGAGAAAAAAATGTCTGCTGTTGCTAGTGATTCATTTGTTTTCATTTAAAATCAATATGGAGTTCGTACTACCACAATGACGTCACTACCAAAGCATCACTACCACCATGACGTCATGAGTGTCACCATAACATCATTACTATAACATGACTGCCACCATGACATCATCACAAACAACATGACTGCCACCATGACGTCACTACCATAACATCACTGCCACCATAATCGATGATGTCACTACTATATGATGACTGCCACCATGATGTCACTACTATAACATGACTGCCACCATAACGTCACTACCATAACATGACTGCCACCATGACGTCACTACCACCCGATTGTGGAGAGTATTTTCAGTCGGGCAAACCAAGACGCCATTGTGTACAGTATACGCACGGCAAGGGACCAAAAGGCAAATCTACTGGATAATCCTCTTAATAACACGACAACTAAACACTCATTGCTCTAATCCTCGAAGAGTATCTTAGGAAATATATCTATGAGTAATTTCGTGGATACAGATACGAATAATAAAATTCCACGCCTTGTTTTCTTTGTTTTTTTGAGTACCCGGTTGGCAGGCTGCATACGCTTCAAGGACACGGACTCTTATTAATAGCCATCAACTCTATTAAAAAAAAATTATGAAGACGATATCAATGATCCAAGGCGAAGACACAAGTTCTTTGAATCTCCTTTTCGGTGAACCAATAATAATAATGATGATGATGAAAGCACACCCGTCCCGCAGTGTGATGAAGTATTGATGTACACGAGACTGTGGGCGTGTGTTGACCTCTTACACAGACACACATTATTATACTCCACTTCCCTCCCCACACACACATTCCACTTACCCCCCCCCCCAAGACACACTACCATCTGCACCCCTCTCCCTCCCCTATATACACCTCCACACTCCATCTACGTCTACACACACTTAACCATATGAACCTCACTCCCTCCCCTCCCACACACATACACACAACACCTGCTACACCTCCACACACACTACTCCTTCCTCCTAGGTAATCCTCACTCGGGGTGATTGAGGAATATAGAGGAGGAAGAAATAGTGCGTGTGTGTGTGTGGTGTAACTGTGTTAGATCTACGGTATATACAATTTACGGCACTGTGTTTTTTCATTAATAACATATATTTAGTTGTGACTCTTTTCCATGTGTCACAACCAGTCTTTTTTCTCTCTCACTCTCATTATCTCTCTTTTTCATCCGTCTCTTCGTCCCTTCACACGGTAAATACAATTGTCCCACCGAGAGAGATCTGTTTCTCTTTCAACTGTTGATGGTTAGAGTATTTAGTTAATTCCTGACTTTGAATACACGCTAAGACCTTAGTTATTAAAGCTCAGTAAAATATTAAATCAGCATCTCTTGGTTCATATTATAGATATTTTGGTGGAAACTCGCGAGATACAAATAACACTCAGATTGAAGAACATTCCGAGTTATTGTGAAATGGTATTAAGCTTATGATGGCTTTGTTGGTCAAGCGTTGGTCGAATCGGCTTACTGTTTACCATTCTCTGTATACCTGCATTTCCCGTGTATAGTATATTGCCTGTGTACCTGAGCTGTCTGTGTACTTTGTTTAGCTACTTGCACTGTATTTTTTGCATACCAGCACTATGTGTATTGTTTATATGCCTGCATTTTTGTCTAAGTACATTTTTTTTCGGGGAATAACCCACCAGGGCACAGGTCATCGACCCACAACAGGGCCTGGGGGTAAAATAAGAGTAAAAGTAAATTAAAAACAGAAAAGAAAAAGACTACATTAATCTACACCACGAAGATGCCGGAAAACCAGATTTTTTAAGTGAGACATTGTATGAGTATGGAAATACAGAGAGCAGAGCATTCCACAGTTTGGCTGTGAGGAAAGAAGGGTGTACTCTAACGTGTTATTCTAGTGTGACCGACATCCACACAGAAACTTGTATGTCGATTTTACTGAATGTATATCATTCTATTTTTCTATATAATATCTGTCTATCTATCTATATATCTTATCTATCTATTTATCTGTATATCTATCTGTCTAAATCTTGCCGTCAAATATCAGAGGATCACATCTATATCTTTTGTTCTTTTTATTCAAAGAGATTTAATTGTGTCAAAATACTTCACACATCATTCATCACCAAACTCTTTAACTAGTTCATTATTTGGCTGCGTTAGGTCAGGCTACAACCCGCCCTCCTGATCTGACGTACTCATGACTTCAGCGAGTGAGGGATGCGAGTGTTTTCTTTCAAGAGTAGCTTAAAGCAGCCAGATGACAGTTCGTGCCCGTTTTATTTATTTATGATTCAAAGATTCTGAAAATGCTCAAAAGTGTAATTTTTGTGTGGTGGTGTGTTGTGTGGTCGTTTATTGTGTGGTGATGTGTGATGTGTGGTGTGTTGTGTGATGTGTGTTGTGTGGTGGTGTGTGTTGTGTGGTGATGTTTT